AACCGCCCGCCGCCGGGAGCAAGCAATCTTCTTGTTTTCCTTCATGTGCTCAGCAGAAGCCCTTCTAATCACGACCTGTTGCTGGGCGCCACATTCCAGCGGAAATCCGGGAAGGGAACTTCGGGTTGGGGGCCGCTGGCAGCAATTAGAGCTGGTCGGAGGCGCCGGGCCGGGCACATCACACGAAAGAGGCGGAGGTTTCCAGTTCGCGGGGCAGGCTTGTTGCTGTACAATCTGAAAACACACGTTTTGCTGGCTTGCAGTAAGAAGGCGATTAAGGCCTTGTAGTCAGGTTGCGACAACACCACCACAAACACGATGGATGGTGCAACTCGTCAAGCAGCCCTCTGTCTTTCTGTCTGCAAGCATTGGTGGTTCTGTGTGTGCTTCGTATACATACACATGTTGTGCATGGTTATATGATATGCATACACATTTAATGTTGGGCTTTTGTTCATAATCTCCCAAACCAGACCCAAAGTATGCACTCTCCAACATTTCTAAGGAGCATTAAGGAGCCTAGTATGCACTGACCAGAACCCTCATCACATACACAGACATGCAGGCGGTATACTCATGTCCATGCATACGGACATATTTGCATTTACTCTCTGTACATACGTAACACGATGTTCATGCAGATGCAGTGATCTTGCCAGCCGCTTGGTGGCCGACATGTTGCGCAAACGTATTGATTCTGCTTACTACCAGAAGCTCAAAGCAGCAATAGCATTGGTAACACATGAATCTAACGACTATGATTTGTCAGAACTTATCATGCTGATGGCTAGTATCGCTTCACTCCACTCCGAGGCGCCTTGAAAACCTGGCCAGCGAGCTCTGAACTTGGTCTCGGAGCTGGTCCATGATCTCGTCGAGGAGCCCTGAGCATCAAACATCCAAGGCATCTGAGTCTGAATCCCTTCAAAGTCTATAGCGACTTCCTTTCAAGACCCTCAGCTAGTGAAGTTTCTAGACAATGAAGATACACAGCTTTGACTTTAAGGGGTTCTGTTGCTTTTGTGGGCCCTGTTCCTCTGCCTAAGTCTTAATGTCCGAAATCCAAGACATTTTATGGTATGTTCAAAGGTCTCCCTGTGCATGCTGTCTCGACTGTCGCGCTACAAAGATTTGTGCATTCCACCTCGCGGTCCATGGAAAAGTTGAGGCAGCACGCATGTATTCAAAACGAGGCACCACGCATGTTTCCAATGCTCCGTGGGTTCGTGGTTTGGGGGAGCTTTGGCTTGATCTCAACATCTTGCACTCCACCTCAGTTTTTGCATGCTACTGAGGCAGCATGCAAGAAACGATGTAGCACACTGTGCGAGGCAGCATGCGTCGCGAGCCCTTGGGCAGCTTCTCAAACCGGCCGCCGCTCAGGCCCATAGATGTTGCGGCAAGGCGCCCTCGGTGTCGTCCGCTGCTGTCTTAGCAGCTTCCGCTTCCTCGACAAGGTTTGGCTGGGCTGCTTTCGGCTCCTCCGACGTGATTGTTTGAGCGCCTGTTTCGGGGTGTCAAGACGAGTTCACGCCACTCTCCTTCGGAGCCTGAGAACCTCAGAGCCTCATCCCTTCTCTCAAGGTCACTCTCTCTCAGAGCCGAGGCCTTGGGCAGGGCAGCCTCCGCCTCCGCCTCCAGGGCCTCCACCTCCTCCTGCAGCTTCTTCCTCAGCAGCGACGCTGGTCTGGCGCGGCTTGGGGAAGCTCCAAGATGGGCTGGGGGCCTCGTGTACCTGCTCTGCAAGATTTCACCGGAAGGATTGCAAAGGATGCAAGCCCCTCTCAATGGAGGCTGCTGTCGCAAGATCTTCGGGCACCTGACAAAAGCACGCCTCAAGGCCAACGCCTCACAACTCTCGAGCCTGTTGAAGCAAGGCTCAGCTCTACTTGCAGCTGGCTGTTCTCGCCTCAGTTTCGTCAGCTGGGCTTCTCCAAACAATCGCAGATGGAACTTGTGAAGTCGAAATAGAAAGGTTCGGCAACAACTCGTCATGAAAGCCAAGCAAAGCACCTTCGAGTCCGACAGCTTCATGACTTGCAAGGGCCGAGCCACTACACAGCTCGTCATTGGCAGCATTTTGCCTGGCATCAGCAGAAATGGCAACCCGAAGCCCCCCCTTTCATCCCAAAGCTTGCCTTTACCGTACCAACCTCAACAGCCGGAATCAACTACAAGTAGCAACTACTGTAGTGACCACAAGCAAAGCCAGTCTGCGCATCCCTCAAGGCCTCTTCAGCGCCCCTTCCCAGTCGATGGCTTCTTCGGCGCTGTCGGGAAGACGGACGGACAGCAAACTCTGCTGTAGCCCCGCAAAGCCTGCGAGGCAGGTCAGGGCTTACTGTGCGTGTCCGTCATCGTTCTCCGCGTCGCATTTGCTTGGCCCTCGCCAGCCAGGCTGAACATGCTGACCATTGCCACAAACAGAGCCGCCTCGTACTGCCTGTTCTGCTATCGGTTGGATGCTTTCAGAATCCCAGCTATCGCAATGATGCGGATGCCATGGTTCTGCCTTTCGAAGTTGCGTGTGTGGACGGTTGGCCTTGGCTGCCGGCGAAGCCATCCTGAAGGTTCTGGAAGAGCGCTCCGCCGGACCTCTGCAAACGCTGCTCTCGCTGTGTGAGAGCTCGAAGTCCGGTGCCATGCTAGGAAATCACTAGGCGGACCGAGGCATGTAGTTTTGCTGATGAGTTGGTGCCACAATGCTGCAGGTGCCCTTGTTGCTGCCCCAGCTGCGCACCGGCATTCGCCCAAGCCTCAGAAAGCGCCCAACTTCAGCGTCAACGAACAGACAGCGGCCTTCTTAGGCTTTCTCTCGCCTTCCGAAGACTCAAGCGTCCCCTGATGGGGTGGGCCTAGGCCAGCTTTTGAAATAGCCAGGTGGCAACCCAGCTGTTCAAGGTTGCTTCCAGCGGCGTGGATTCTCTGCCGGGAGGTTGGACCATGGCTTCGAGGCGTGAGCATCTTTGGCACCCAGAAGCGGCTTTTCGACTTTCAGGTGGGGCTCAAGGTGCTTGGGTGGGGCTGGGGCTAAGGCTAGGGCTGCTAGGGCCGTGGGGTGGCCTGGGCTGAAGGGCGGAAGAGCGAGGAGTGTCAGGGATGGCAGGCGGACCCGTGAGTCCTCTGGCCAAGAGTCCGTGTGCTCTGTCCCTCCCTTACAGGATATGGTACAGCGTTGCCTAGGCGGTCAACTTGTGATGCTTGATCCTGCGACATGGCTTACAACGCCGGAAGATACATGAAGAGCTTGGCTCTGTCACCTGTTTACTTGCCATGGATGGGGTTGCAACGAGGGGTCTTAGGGGTTGGACTTTGCTGATTCAACTTAGAAGCTTTTTTTTTAGCTCCGCGACTGGAGGTGGCCTGGCCCGTCACTGCTCATCAGGGAGCGCAGAGGTCACCTGTCCGACCAGCTCTTGAAGGCATTCCGACTTAGATCACCTAGATCTGCTTTTTTGTCTGCGCAACATGCAAAGGCCGAAGCCCTTCTCACTTTCAGAAGGGAAGTGTCTGCGGCAGAGGAGTCTGAGGGTGCCCTAGGCTCCTCGACTCGCGGGCTCCGGATAAAAGTTTGCGAGTTCTGGAACATGCTTCGCTCACGAAGGGCCCGACTCGAAACTCCACAGCCCTGAGGCCAAGGCCTCGGGCGGCGGCTCGAGACCGGCATGCAGCATCTGCGATCGAAGGAAGCTCTCCTCTTGACAGGAAAGTCGCCGATGAGATCGCAACAAAAGCTCCAGAATCCCAGACTCTGATCTGACCTACACCTTGCCAGTCCTCCATGCGCAGCGTCTCTTGGTCGACCTGCAGAAAAGGAACCAGAGCAGGCAAAAATGGGGCCCTTTTCGCATGGAAGCAAACGTGACGAGACATTCTGCGACGCTCTGCCGAAGCCTTCAGATTCACCAGTTCAGCTCGCAGCAGCTTGTTCTGCTCTCGGAGCTCCTCTCGCAAGCAAGGTGCTGAGAACCACAGCGCACAGCAAAGCGACAGCAAGCGCATCGCTTCGAACACTGAGGGGCCCTTTGTCTTTGCATGGGTTCTTTCGGGCATGGCCGAGGAGACGTCGGCCACTGAAAATGAAACACCATCAGCATATTCTGACTCTTCCCCGGGGGCCCTATGTTTACAAGCTCGCCTGTGATGCTGAAAACCCTTCTTCCAGCCAGGTTCCTGACGGAGTCGTGGACAGAGAAACCTTCTATGTCGAATGAAGATGAGTGCAATAGCTGTTCGTCGCATCATCCATATCCTCGACTGGGGTGGCTTGCCCTGCGAGCTGGTGTAGGCCAAGCAATTCACGCGCCCTTTGCAATTCCCCCTCCTACTCCTCCGCCACTTCCCCTCTCGTGACTTGATGTCAGTACTATGGTCGGAGTGGAGGGAGCCACATCTTCCCTCTGATGAAAAACGAACATCGGAAGACCGTCACCTCCACTTCAAAGCCCCTGGCCATCCCAGGAGTCCTTGTTCAGGGCCATGATGCCCACCTCATTTCATGCAAGCAAGCAGAGGTGCTTCGGAACTTCGGCCAACGCTAGAAACACCTTGCACGCAGAATTTTCTCGTCCCACAGCTGCGTCGGTCGCTCAAGCATCTATTGGCCAAAATCCCAGCTTGAAGCTCCTGCCCAAAGGGAAAGTGCCATGCTGAAGATCTAAGCCTTCACCCCGCGAAGCCTGCAACCTCACAGTCCCAAGGCACGGCACGTTCCGAGAGCAAGCCCTAAGCGGTTGTGGCAAAGGCCAGACAGATCCTGCAGGCCCCGAACCATACCACTACCTCACTACCACCACGGCGACTACGGCTGCGACCTACTATATCGGCAAGTACACATGCTTGCGGCATGCTCCCCACCCAAGTATATTGAAGGGCCCGAGCTGGGAAAAAAGGATCCTGGCCTTGGCCGGAGCCCAAAGGTTGATGCCCGCTTAGGTCTGCAACTGCGACCTCTGTACAGCTGCTGCGGGAAGTGAGGGCCCTGTCGAAGGCGACATCGCTCAGCTGGGCAGGCCGGACCCCTGCCAAAGAAGTGTCCACCGCATGGGCGGTGCCGTCGGGTCCCAGCTCCTCGCAACGGAAAGGACGAAGGCTTTGCCAGAGAAGCCTACTACAAGGCTTTCTCGGGTTGCGGTGCAGCTGAGGGTTGTTGGGATGGGTGCAGCTTCGGCTTCGGTACCATGCACTCCTGCCTGAACGTTGAATCAACCCATCATTTCACCCTTGCGGCTTGAAACGCTCCTGCATGAACAACTCAGTTGCATTAAATGATACTTTCCCAATTCAAAGGCTGAGAGGGCACTACCGAAAGTGTTTATCTTGTTAAGCCCCGGCCCATATCTTGCTTTCACCCGGGAGCCCAACCATGTCGAGCCCAGCAGGTCTACCTTGCGACACAGGAGATAAATCAAATGCAAAGCGTAGCCCTGAAGCTACTCCTTGTCTGCGGATGCAGGGCTGCGCCCGGGCTGGTCCATGTCGCCCGCCCCTTCCTTGGGCTTGGGGCTGTCAACGGCTTCCGTGCCCCAGCACTCCCAAGAGAAGACAGAAGCCTCCGCCAGAGCGTGCGGCCAAGGCGCATGACCTTGATGGAAGTCGCCTTCCAGCTGGACATGAAGCTGCTCCGATCTGCCAAGATCTCCTCAGATTCTCAAACTCATCCTGCATCTAAGGAGAGAGTCCACAAATCTACTGGAAAAAGGCTCCAAACCAGGGTGCAGAATCGATTTGTTTGTCTTTGTGTGCGCGCATGTGCGCACCGCGTGACTCATCTGTCAGTCTGTCCTTGCATCCGTCCACCTCTGCATGTCCGGAACTGGATGCAAAATAATGCAAGGCAGCTCATGGTATAGAGTCCGTCATGTATGTAGGTTAGGGCACTTCGCAAACAAAATCCAACAACATGGGACAACTTGATGAAGAGACGCGCAGCTTGGGCTTCAACACCATCTCCCGAACCTAAACACCGACAACACTGACAGACCAGCCCGAAGCACAAGCTATCGAGACCAGCTGCAATCCGCCAGCCCTCGCCCTCACTGCGCGTCTCCGCATCCAGGCGGCAGCGGTTCGTCTCGTAATTGCGGAGCGTGGAAGACTGCGCACGTGGCACGAGCTTTCTATTCTTGCGGTCCAGGTAGGTTCCACAGGTCACTGTTGAAGCTGGGTATTCCAGGCCACGCTGAGGGATTCCCTAGATCTCAACTCCTATATCCATGCATCCAGGCCTGGACGGCAGCCACAAGGTCTTCGGGCAGGTCTGGCTGCTCGGAGCTGAGCTGTGCCACCACACCCTCATGAACAGACAGGTATTGACAGCTGCAAAGGATGGTTTTCATACGTTTCCGTAGTACGGCATCGACAGCACCATCGGAGCCACGGTGATCTCGATTGTTAGGATCCGACAGCTCCAAAACTTTTGATTAACGAGCCCCACCACTTGGTCTTCCGATGTCTTGCAGCTTGTTGGCTTGGGGGGTGCGAGATTGGGACACTGATGACCTGAGGGGCACAAGAAACTCCTGAAGGGCTGTTCTCCAATAGGCGGGTCTCTGTCGCTACGGTTTTGGGATCGGAACCTGAAGACTCCGCAAATCTCTCGGTGGTCCGGCCTTCTTGAAGTTTTCCTCGAACCTGGATGGCCAGATTAGCAATACACACGAATCGCAGAACACCCACTCCCTAATCCCAGAAGACTGAATTGGGTCCTCACCCCTGGACTCTGAGTGCATGGACCCATCCGGAAAACCACAGACCTGACGCATCCTGACGCCCAATGCGAAGGGAATACCAGCAACATTCGAATCGACTTGCAACCGTATCCAAGCCGCCAAACACCAAGGAACACCTAGTCAACTAGCAACATCCCCAAACTCCAAACACTTCGAAGGTCAAAGAGCAGCTAGCAAAGAGCAATCACTGAACAGTACAATTTTACAAGCTTGCATTTGGGCCCAAACTGCCTGGATTCGTTGAGGTTGGAAGCCCACCAGCCAAGCCCGATCGTGGAAGGCACTGCAGCTATCAGGCGCCAGCCGCCAATCCTGGTCTGGGCGAGGGCTTCGTGAGAGTTTGTTCCACCAGGGTCAAGGCGGTGACAATTGCGTGCTCCGTTCAGAAAGCTGCTTCTAGAAATCTCCAGCCTTCTTACTGTCGAAATCGATGCGTCTAAACGCCGAGCACTTCTCAGGAAATCTTCTAGACTTGGGCTTCAGGTCCACCCCGGACTCAACTGAAATGCTGGCTCTGACGAAATCCGAGCAGCTCATAGACGGAAACTACTGCGCCCACCTCGGCTTCACTGCCCGTGTCTGTGCCCAAATTTCGCACATGCACAATCTGGATCCAAAACCTTGCTGCGTTCCATCAGCAGAGAGCATGCCCCCTTTCGCCGCAAATGCCATCCGCGACGTGTGCTGGGATGTCTAAATGCGCACGCGACCTCGCGTCGCACAACGCTTGGTGTTCGGGCTGGGCTGAGCAGGCTCCTTAGCCTGCAGAAGATAAGAACAGTGGGACTTTGGCTAAGTCTTTGGTCCCACGGAGAAAATTTCAAGCGCACGTTGAAAGGACGCTCAAACGATAACCTCGCGGTCAGTCTCGAGTTGACCGTTGAAAGGCGATTTGCAACCATGCTCCGCCTTGGGCGGGGTGGTCGTCACACCCTTCATGCCGCAGTCCTCTTTTGAGTCGATCGCATCAAGCCACTCCGGCTGAAGCTTGAAGTCCTCCTCCATGTACTGGTGCTTGAAGAAGAGCTGCTCATCGCCGAAGGTTGTGGTAGTCGGACCATGCTCGCCGATCCGAACCTTGCCGATCAACTCTTCAGTCGCCCCTGGCTTCTCCAGAGCGTAGACATCGAAAACGACCTGCCCTGGCTTCAGATCAGACTCGAGATTCTTGAGGCACTGGGCATAGTCCTGGCAAGGACACTCCACCTTCACTGCCGGGCGCAACACCAGCTCGAAGGGGAACTTGCCCTTCTGGCCATCTGCGAAGTCAGAGGTGCCCACCATCAACGGGCAGTAAGATGCCTGCCAGAACTTGGCAGCAACCAACTTGAGCGCGAAGTTGGTGCTTGCTTTGATGTGTGTGGTGAAGTCACGAGAGAAGAAGTTGCTCTCCTCACATGGCTGGCCATCCAGGCCAGGCATAGCAACGAAGTTGGAGCTCGTTCGCCCGTCGCGCAAGAGCTTCAGGCCAATGCCCGGGGTGAAGCCGGAGCTGCCTGGCTCCGCGGCTGAGGAGAAGCGAACGAAGCCATGCTCTGACCCAGAGGCGAAGAGACCGCCGTACTTCGAACTCAGAGACTCCCACTTGATGGGCGCCACAGCCCCGACGCTGTGGATGTACTTGACGCGGGAGCCCGGGAAGATGTCTGACTGCGATTCAAAAGACACCTGGACGCTCTCAGACATGATGCCGCTCAGGAGTGACAGGGCGGCGGGATACTGGCCGGACGTGGTGTTCTGGTTGATGCGCTGCCACAGCAGCTTCTGCTTCTGCTCCGCCGTTAGCTCTTCGTACGGCTTGTATGCTGGAAACGAACAGTAATCATATTTGCCAAGTGGAATGCTCCAGGACGCAGTTCCCTTAGCACAATTCTTGTCCTTCACCTTGCAGACGGGGGCTGCGAAGCAGCCAGCGAAAGGGCTTTCTTTGCATTCGGACACACACTCGCATCCAAGCACCGTGGCTGGTGCATACTCGTAGATTGGACTGTCTTGTCCAAGTGCCCAGCTGGCCAAGACCGGCAAGGTCGCCACAGCACGCTTCATGCTTCAGGAGGGCTGGAAGAAGCTTCAAGCAGGTGTCGGGCACGGCCTACTCTTGATCTGCAATACTACAAAGAAGGGCGGGCAGTTCAAGCTGCCGTGACAAGAAGCAAACTCCAGTACACTGCCAACGACCAGAGTGGATTCCAAGTCTTAGATGCATTCTACGACAGCAAACGGTGAAGGAGCACTTGGCGTTCCAGACACGAGTACGACCACTACTACGAGACTCCCACAACTCCAGGAGCACCCCCTGACGCTCCTGGAAAACTCCGCAGGCCTGGAGCATAAGCAAAGGCACCTAAACACACACAGATCACACATCACCCCAAGTGTGGCCACCTTACAAAGCAGGCCCAGCTGCTGCCACCGCCCCGGGCCCGGCGAAGCGAAGAGCCGGCGCGACGGCCGCCAGCCGCGGTGCCTCGAGCGATGGCGATCGTGCAGGCGGGACGGCCAGGGAACACCACAAGCTTCATTCATGCTGATTTGTCAGGCGGAAAAAGTTGATAGCGAACCAGACTCCAGCCACTTGGACTGGGACAAGGTCGGCTTGGATAGGCCAGATTGGAACAATATACTAACATGGCTACCCCTAAACGCACTCCCCACCTCTCCACTCGACTGCATCGTTTATGACACATTCAGCTGACGGCGCTAGCACTGTCCCTGCTCTGACCGCTCAGCTTCCGAGGCGCGAAGGCAGCACCTCGGAGGGCAGCGCCCAGCATGATGAAGCTCTGACCCCAACTGAGCGAATCCTGCCATGGCAGTACAACGACTGGGACACTGGCTGCCACAATCCAGAGAATTGACAACCAACTGTAAGTCGTGCGGTTGGACCGATAAGAAGATAGGAGGCAAACGAAGGTCGTGCCGAGCAATGAAGGAACTGTCTTGGCCGTTTTCAGCCTTCTTACCCTGCTGCTAAATAATCCTTTTCACCACGCTTCTTCACCCAACTCCGGAGCTTAATTGCACTTTCCGCGCTGCATCATTCTGCAAGGCAGTCCTGGGAAGCTTCCGCCTCGGGGGCCCTCTCCTGCTTCTTCTCCTCGTTGGCATCTTGCTAAGCTCACTGAAAATCGCCTCAACTTGCCTTGAATACTCGTACCTTCAAACACACCTGCATTGGTAGGGCCACTTCAGTTATGCGCGTGGCAAGCTCAGGGACTCAAGCCCAGGGTTACGTGCGTCCCTTCAAAACAGCATTCATCTCTACTCTTAACAGATCTCTCTCAAACCCAGCTTGCTTCAGCACTGCCACTATCTGCCAACCTTTCTGCAACGAGCTGTGGCTGCGTCCTTTTCTTCTCGTTCCGGCTTCTGGGGCTCGTTCGGGGCGGCTCCGTGCCTGCAACAGCTCTGCCGGGCAGCTGTAGGCTTCAGGACAGATATCCTCCTGGAATTCCTCCCCTTCGGATGACCCCTCTTTCCATTCAGGCCTCGTGTTCAGGCGAAGTGTACATGCGATGCTCTCGTTGAACACTGCATTGCTCACGCTACTCGCACTGAGTTCCGCTTCCAAGCTGCACTGACCCTTGGCACGTCGAATCTCGGCGATAGCCTGACGGCTTTGACTCCTTCAATCGGCGCAACCTCCTCGGCCCACCTCCGTGAGGCGAAGCCCCGCAGCGGAACCGCCAGGCGCCGAAGCGCCACGCAGGCTGCCGGCCGTCCCGAGGTCGGAAGGGGTGAGAGAGCCGCAAGCATCGCGCGGAGAAGGGATGTAATATATTGGAAACTCGCGTGTGTCGTGAGTTAATGCGTGAGGTGAAGCAGCATTCGGGATCTGTTTACAAGGCTAGCTGCTAGCTATTGTTCGGAACGATTTCCCAGGCTCCTGTCGTTCGTCGCTGCTTTGGTGTAGAGTGTAGAGGGTTTGCCTGTTTAGGTTGGTTCATGCTGTGCCGTGCCTGGTGCCGAGTGGGGTCCACCGGAACAGCAAGTGTGTGAGAGCTGATCCTGCGAGAGATGATCGACGATGATGGCTCGACGAGTGAAGTCCTTGCTGGCCGGCCTCGTTTCAAACTGATCGGGTAGACTAACTACCCAAATCTCATGTTGGGCGGGCACATCATGTGATCGATGCTCAGCCCCAGACGTACTCGGTGCTGGGGATGTAGCCCTGCATGAGCATCTCTTCAGCCTAGCAGTGGCGAGATTTCCGCCAGGGTCTAGGATAGATCCCTACCTGTAGGCATCAGAGCGGAGCCGAGCGATGACAGAGGTTCACAGCAGCAGCAACCGCAACAGGGTCGACAACATTCGAGTATCCTGTTAGCATGAGCAACGCTGCTTGCTGACGGCACAGCAACGTAATCGGAATGTACAAGATGGCAACAGTTCAACAGTAGCAAAGAAATAAGAGCTGGTATTGGTACACACCGTGGTTTCTATACTGTATACTATGCTATACCATGTTACATGACACCAGCTTGGTGCAAGACGGACAAAGAGGCGCCAGCCGAGCTTGGCCTCAGAAAAGGAAACGGGCCCAGGAGCATTCAGGAGCCAGGCTCAAGGTTCTTAAGGTTCAGAGTTTAGGGTTGGGCTTTTATGTTGAGGGGCATTCCCGGCTTAATCCAAGCACTTGATGAGGCTTCGGGTTCAGTGGTCAGCCCGGGTGTTTCCTGCTTGAGGGTCGCTTCGAGCTTGGGGGATTCGAGGCTCAGGGCTCGGGTTGTCTCAGGACAAGAGCGGCAGCCGGCAGGCCAGGGCTAGGGTTGGCACTTTGCTTCGCTGTCTTCTTGCAGCCCGAAACATCGCATGAAAGCCCCCATACAAGGAGAATCAGCTCAATGTCTTACGGAGCACTCCAGAAGCAATTACAAACTCTACACTTGCATTCCGGCCTTGTTGAGGCCGGAGTGCGTGCCTGACTAACGCCCGTGCCTGTCAAGGGCTTTCGGTTCAGGGCTTATGCAAGGGCCTGCTGCGCTGCAAACTTTCGGAATAAATGTCCTCCAACCAACAGCATCTGCATGGCACAGCTGCCCGATAACATGCTATTTTGTGGGCCAGGGCAGGCAGAGCGAGGCCAGTCGAACATCCTTGGATCTGCTGCCTTGTCACAAAATCAACATGGTGTTCCCATCCTGAAACATCTTAAGTGAAATCCCAAAGCTGCCTTGCCTGAGCTCCGGGCGGAGGACACCTGCAGCTGGAGAATGCACGGGTTTGCGGATATGCCTGGTGATTATGTCTGAACCCATATGATCTACGAAGGTATGTGTAGGGACACTCCAGATCCCAGAAACAACCGACGACCCCAAGCCACGGAATGTCTCCGCTGCCCAGCTCTCTCCGAACATCGAAGTCGAGCAACCCGAAGCTTAAATCCGCCCTCCGATGCTCTTAGGTCTCGCATCTCTGCATCCATGACATCTTGCGGATCCACTGTTTCTGCTCCGACACTGAATGCATCCAAAATCGCAACTGCGCAGTGTCGCTGCCTCTGAGGTACCAGGGCTCGGTCGCAGCCTAGTCATCGGGTTGGCTTGTGTGACTGCTGCCTGTGGGTTTCGCCCCGAGTTTGGTTTCAAGCTTCGACGGATGGAAGAAGTGAGGTTTCGGCCGCTTCTGATCACATATTGTGCGCGGACTGATGCGGCAGTAACACAGCTCCAACTGCCAGACTGCCAGTTCTTCATGTTCACGAGAGGAAGTAGGGTTCAGACGGTGATCTGAGCTCGGATGACCCACGACTGAAGGCGCGCGGAGTCAAGCTCAGAACTTGAGCCTGAAACCCTACAGCAGCCAACCCTGTCCGAGAAGAAAGCAGAAGCCCACATCAGACCAACCCCTGCCCCGCGGTCCGAGCCGAAAGATCAAAGCCCTGCCTTACCTTGGGACTCTCGGGCATTACTCCGATTCCCTTGCCAGTTCCATGCAAAGCCCACCTCCTTTGCAGCGGCGAGGGCGAGGCTCCGCGCGAAGAGGTCGGTGCTGGTGTGAGACGGAGATGTGTTTTTTCTTCCATGCGGCAACCTTACGGGAACCTCGGGAGATTTGCTACGTTTCGATGATGCAATTTGGACTGGAGCTGAAAGGCGGTGCTCCGAGGAACCTAGCTGACCTAGCTGTGGCGACACGGGATCCGTTGAGGAAGGGCTGTACGGTAGTTGCGCGCATCGTTGGTCGTTCATGACTGGAGTCCTTTGGCGACGGATCCAGTGCGGCTTGCCTTTCCGATGCTTAAGCTCTCCTCTGACTCTGCTTGCCTCTGCTACGGCGAGGAGGCCCGAGAACATACGACTTTCGAGCAAGGTTGAACATACCGCGCATCGCAAACATCGGAGGATGTGCGAACTGCAAACTGAGACGTGCATGGAATGACAGCATCCAAAGGTTTGGGGATCTCCGGATTCGAAACTCAAATGATTCGCTTCTCGCTCCGGAGCATTGCCTCGCGGCGGTGGCTCGGGCGAGCTTCGGACGGTACCTCAGCGCCCGGAGACTTCAAAGAGAGGCTCGAGGATTCTTGCTCGGCTCCTCCACCGCATGAGCTTGGCAAGAGTCTTTCGTCTGTGTCACAAATGCATGACCGTTCGGTGCGACATGCAGGGAGTATCCGAGTATCCTGAGAACTCGCCCCGAGTCCAGCTATGTGCGCTTTCGGAGCGCAGATCTGAGAATGACTGCAGTTTGTGGGCCCTTCTTTTGCTGAGCCAGGAGGCAAGCCCAGTCAAAATCTCGGGGATTTCAGGCTCTTTGACCAGGGCGGGATTGGATCTTTGGCTTTCCGACTCACGGCAGAGGGCTCCGAAGCTCTGAACGCAGGCTCTCTCCTCCCTGGGTGTCCAGGCTCTCTGCAGGCCCATCCTCACCGGGAGGCCTGCAGTTCGAATTTCGACAAAAAATCCCAAAATATAGACCACGTAGAGGGGTAGTAGAGTCAAGACCGTTACATTGTTGCATCGAGCCCAGACCCGCTGTTCTAGCAAGAGCATCAAAGCCATCCGACTGAACTAATGAACCGTCTTGCATTCAGATCCAAAGCCCAAACTGCAGGAAGCCACTCTGCAACCTCAACCACAAGCCACCTCAACATCAACTAAACTAACCTTGACGTCGTTGCCGACCCCAGGATGCAGCCTTGATCCAAACGCCACTAAAGTTCACTGCGTAGAACCCAGTTCTGCCCCTGCCTGGGCGGCCGTCCGGCAGAGACCGGCGAGGAGGCCTCGTCAAGGAGACGAAGGAGCCAAGACACTGGGAACAAAAGGTATTGTGGGAGACGCACACGGAAGATGCTGTAAAGAAGGATTACTGACATGAGGCATTCGGCAAGACTGACTGACTGACTGACTGACTGACTAGGCAAGATCTACTCGATCCTGTGGTAGCTCGAGGTTGAGAATCGGAGATGGTATCAAGACGAGCTGGGGTAATTTTTCGGTGCGACGGTTCGACCTGCGGAGGTGTTTCCATTCTTCTGGTGTGTTGCTGAGTGTTGATTTGCGTGCGGGTAAACTTCTACAGGCAATTCGTGGATGTGGTTCAGCTGACACATGAGTGTCTTTTGAGCGCCTCTTCCGCGGGCCCCTTCACGGTTGTAAGAATGGGCTAGAATTCCTGCTTAGCGGCATGCATAATCAGCTCCGTGTCTCTGCTTGTCAACACGAATCTTGCTGTTTGTGTGTAAATCTACCTGTCTACCGTTCGGTCCAGCTGCGCGTGCTTGTGCGCATGCATGCACACGTGTATGGATAGATGATGTATGGACCTGCAAATGGAAGCATGGATGGATGTAACAACGTATGGATGTATGGTGTAATGGATGTATGGATGGATGGCTGGTTGGTTGGATGGATCTGTGGGTTTGTGACGCATTGTGATGCTTGTGTGAGTCTGTCTGGGTGCGTCCCTCTGCATGCAATGCTCTATGCATGTATGTGCATGTAAGAAAGGCTGAGAGATGATGTAACATGTGCGTCATGTGAAATTGCTACATTTTGTGCCGCACTCCATCATGTTTTGGGCTTGGTTGATGTGGGCACGTTGCACACACCGCAAAGCCTTTGAAGTGGAATATCAGAGCTTTCACTACCCTTGGAACCTCGAGACTGTCTGCTCACAACACTCAACGAGCTCCGGACCAGGTCGTAAGCTGGACAAAGAAAGCCAGGCTTCGTGTCTCCCTTCCCCGAAAGTACGGCTGCTACGCAAGGGCTTCTGAAGGGTCACTGAATGTTGTTGTTAGTAAGCTTGAGGACGTTGCGTTTGCGATGCGGATGCACAGCTTCTGTCAGACAGCGCTGTCGGGACTGAGGCATGCCAGGAATCTTGGCCAACGACACTCACGATAATCAGTCGCTCCGGCTGTCGTGTGCCCTCGAGTCCGAAGATTTCACGACGCGTGATGGATGCGATTGCGTTCAACTGTTCAACAGCACTGGTTGAGCTTTACCCTGGCCGAGCACTTCCTCCAGCCACACTTGTATCTCACATGCACGAAAGTGTGAGACAGCCCAAGTGAGCCGAAGCTTCCAGGCCCCCACCCACGGGCCTTAGAAGCCATTGCACCTCCTGCCAGCCAGCTGTTGTGAGAAATTGTAAATGCGCGTACACATGCAAATTGCAGCCGAACTCAAACTAGGATGCTGGAGGCCGTGGACAGGACCTTACCACTTCTTGGGCTTGTCATTGTTCCAAACACGCCGCGAACATAAAACATCAAAGGCCAAAGACAATAACAGCTCAGTCACGGCACGTGCAGGAAGTCCTCAGAGCGTACAGGAAAGACAAGTCAGCTGCCGTCCTGGCAACGCACAGTGATGTCTGCACTCCCATGCGCCCAAACACGCCTCGAGAGGTTCCTTTGTGACGAGTCTCGCTGCAGATATCACCAAAACCAAGAACGGAGGCTGTTCCAGAATATCTGTCCATGTCTTTCCAAGCAGCCTTGGTCCGTTGCTAGGTATTGGCAGTCAATGCACAGAAATGAAGTGATCTGTAAGCTGTGCCGGGTCGATTTGGAGGACGGGGCCTTTACACGCAAAGACTCCGAGAGTCCGCCACAACAGCCTCAAACCGCGGACCTCGCGGCTCTGCTGAGGGGAGCCATGGCAGGCGTCTAGCTTTAGGGTCCGACAGGACCCAACTGCCGACTAGGGAAAGGCCCTGCTCTGGGGACGTGCCGAGCATATAGTCTCGTGAGTAGACTAGCAAGACAGGCGTGTCGCGCTCCGGGTTTGTCTCTGCGATTCGTGGCTTTACTTCTAGCAGCTTGCAGAAGGGAGTGCTCCTTTTTCTTTGAAGGCTCTTACGTCTCAGGGGAATCTTAGGGCTTGATTTCTGTGGATTTGTGTTTGGGATAAGCTTAAGGTTCGTCTCTACATGTTGATTGTTGGAGGCCAAGGGCTGGGTACAACCTGAGATGCCTACAGGTTTTAAAGCTGCAATCAGTGCAGACATCTTCAGACATGCACACACAAAACAGCAAGAAAGAGGGACTTCAGGCAAAGGCCTCAGGTATCTCTTTGGCAAGTTTTAAGGCTGCTCGCGGCGAGAACCCAGACTTTCACTACCACCAATCCAACAGGACGACCGCCATAACTGTAGCTTGAAATAACCTCGCGGGCAACTCGTTTTATCCATGATGTCGGGGCTGCAACTTTGGCGGAGGGACCGGATGCGAACACTGCGACCTCATCTTCTGATATTTGCGGTCTACTCAGTTCACGCGACGGTCTGGCGATCCGGGTAGTCCGGGCAAGGTCTAGGCACACTGCTCGCAGCTGGTCCCGGGCAGTTCGTTATTCAAGACCATCGGCAGTCCCAACAAAAACTCAACCCCGGCCCAGCCAATCAGATAAGGTCGCTAACTTCTCTCCCTTTTTTCCAGTGAGGAACCCTCTCCAACACAAGCGCGTGCGTGCGTGTGGAACGATGGGGGACGCCGCCCGGTCGAAACTGTCTGCTGACGGAAAGAGGCTCCGGACTCCAAGGGAGGCCCCTGGCCCTAAACGGTGCAGGGAGGCCCTAGAAACCTTATGCAAGCCTGGCATTCTAAGATTCTAGCACTCTAGCACTCAAGAAGGACCCCGACACGCCATCACAGCCTGCTTGCATACAAAACCACAACCCCAGCACTAGTTATCCGAGAATCCGACAAGGTCAGGGATGGAAGGCCGAGGCAGCTATGATGCGCGGCAACTCAGTTACAAGAGGTGCCTCCTCTTTGCGTCCTGATCGAATTTCCTACTGAGCTCGCCACGTCCAGCAATTCAAAGCAGCATTGGTTCTGCGCGCGGCAACTGCTCTCGGTCTTCGCTATGCTGTGCCAAAGGCACCGCAAGCCGGGTGTGGCATGCTCGCTGGTGAGGCTTGCTACAGGCCCGGAAGCATGCAGTGTCCGTGCTCATCGACTCATCGTCGTGTTTGGGACTCTGTCTGAACACCAGAGATTTTCAAGTCACTGAACTTCCCTGAACTTCTCTCAACCCCGCTCAACCTCCGACCTACTTAGATATCCCACTTGGACTGCAAGGGCCTCTATTGCGATCCATCTATGCACAGCATAGACGTCGGAGCTCCCAAACCCTCCTCCCTGCAGGCCCACGTGATTCGGTGCAACTCCTACGCAGCGCTATGCTTGCTTCCAAAATCCACTTGAGCCCAAGTGGCTTGGACAGGGTTTCTGCTGTAGCTTTCGGGCCTGCGACGGTGCGATGCACGCCGAATGTTCTAGAATTCTAGAGTTCAAGCTCGAAGATGCCCGAAAGGCGTAGTGTTGTTTTGGGGCTGTGGGCTGTTCAGTAACCCGCTGGGACAAAAAGGTGTACTTTTCCAGCTAGTCAAGTCGTACAAAAACAGGAACCCAGAGACCTAAAGCAAGAAGCGCGTCACTAAATCACTGGGCTTCTTCTCTGGTGTCGGGAAGTATGTCGAAGCTCAGTCACGGCCTGGTAGCAGCAACCTCACTTACATCTTCACAATCAAGCCCTCCCTGCTGAGCATGGTTTATGAAATAGGTCTCGAAGTTGGGAGTGGCCTATGTCAGATTTCGGGGTGGGCTTAGGGTGGGGTCTTCCGTCTGAGGCATCCTCGCAAGAGTTCCTTTGCTTGGCTCCTTTGGCCCTTCGAATTGCGCCCTCCGGCGGTGCAGAGATCCGGGTGGAGCTGGAAGCTTCTCAAGTCCACAGGAGACACCAAGACTCGGGCTCTCACGAACTGGTGAACTGTTACGACCTTCTTGAACTTACGACTTCAGGTGGACAACCCCCACCATCCGGCGAACGATCCAACTCAAAAACCTCGAGATGAACCAAAGCAGCCGCACAGCCTTCCTAAACCCTAAGCACGCCTCGTGTCGCCCTGTAGCAAGTCTTCTTGGACTCATCCCCCCTCAATCTGAGTTTGAGGGTAGTTCTTGATCTTTGCTTCAGAACTCTTTGAATTTGGAAGTACTTTAGATGCTTCCAGCGTCCCATCTGGCAAGAGGACATTGCCGCATAAACAGTTAGGTAGAAACATCTGACTCACACAAGCAAGTTGCACTTCGACAAACCTGCCAAGGCAGGTTGAAGCTGGAATAGGAAACTTCATTCTCGATGCCTTGCAGCCAGCTTGGAAGACCAGCGTGTCGAGGGTTGCATAGCTGTTGAACCCCCAATTAAGCATCAGAAATCGCTGTTCCTGTCGATCCCAATCCAAAGCCTGCTGCTGCGGGCTGTAACTTTCGCCCTTTAACGACGCCGTCATTCCATCTAAACCCGGAGCTGCAACTCCCAAGCAGCTTCCCAGAACCAAAGCTTGAAGCCGGCGCCTTCCGCACCTACTCGATGTCGACTCTTTGATGACCAATGGAACCGAGGGTTCTCTACACACCGAAACCTTGCATCAAACCCACCCCATGCAATATGCTAAGGGAGAGGGCAACACGACAGTTGCCTGCATCACTTCTTGACGAAAACGCGCATGACCTCGTCTCGCAGTACATCTCAACAAAGGCACGTGACTCGCACGACTGAGAGCGATATTCTTTCATGTTGGATACCCAGAGCCTCAGCCTGTCGCCTGACTTCGCGCCAGGACTCGAGGATGCAAGTAGCTAGCCGGGCAGGGCTTGGCTTGCATGTGCTGTGCAGGAGGCTTTCCTCTTTTTCAATAGCGAAAGCCGTGACAAGCCTCATGGAAGAAACGCAACCGGCACACGTGTACACACGTGTACAACATGACACGGAGTGATACTTCCAATTGGCATGAATTTGTACCCCACGCGAGTATCCTCTCGTGAGTTCTGGCGCATCGCTAATGCTGAAAGCTCTTGCTGACCAGCTCAAAGGGAAACATTCGATGATGCAGCTCCTTCTCCTTGCGGTCTGGATCCCAGTCGCCACTTGTGATTCATTTGGCTGCAGCCCTGATGAAATGCACGGTTCTCAGAGAGAATGTAGTAGGAGAAGGCACCACGAGGAAAGTCAGTATCGCGACAGGAGCGAAGTGGATTCAGCATCCCGGCCCCCAGATGCAACAAGCCCGCAAATACCACAGGAAAAAACAGCACGCAAATCACCTCTACAGCTGCAGTGACGTATGTCTGACGGCTCAGGGCCCGCGCAATGACCACGACAGAGGTAATTCCTTGCAGAACGTTGTGCATCGCAACCACAATGTAGAGGCCGTGCATATAGCGAAGAGGAACCTGGGTGTCGACATATGCCAATGTTGCACCCAAACCTCCTCGCGCCGCACAGCAAAGGCGTTGAAGCTCAGGCATCGTAGTGACGGGAAAGGGCAAGCAGCTGCCACCCTGGTCGACCGGGCCATGTGCCAAATGCGCGATGTAGGAGGTGGCCCAGGCCCAGACCACTTGGCCTTTGGAGGGCAAGGGAGCGAGGACCTTAGACTCGTCCTCCTCCAGGAGCCCACACTGCAACAAATCACTCAAATCCTCATCCTGCATGGCCTGCTTGTACATCAGCTCGTGTGACAAAACAGCCCATCGCAGCATCCGCTCACGGACAAGGGTGTCCTCAGGTGAGTCACTTGGAAAGTAGCTTGTCAGAAGCAAGGTGAGGTCGTTGATTGCACCCCAAAGTCTTCCGATGCAGTCGTTGCGCATGGCCCACCATCGATTGATGCAGGCGGCCAAGAAGAAACCCAAAAGGAACACCTTGCGTGCATTCCGAGGCCTCGCCCAAACCACTACTAGGCATTACCAAGACCGGCTACCCTTGTTTGGAACGAGCCGTGACCACCATGAAACCAGAACCCCAACACGAATCTGTTGTAACTCAGGCGCCGTCACGGTACGTACCGAATGCGTCATGTTCACCAAGAGGTCCCTGGTCGCCTCCGAGAAGGCGGGCCTCCCGGCCCCGGTGAAGTGATAGATCAGCAGCGCGAATGTACAGCTGGACACCGCGTACCACCACGTCCTGGCCACGAAGGTCACAATCAATCGAAAGAATCGCTGACTCTCTCTCGCGCTCTGGATGCAAAAGCTCAATGCCACGGTGTGGGCCTGGCCATCACCAACTGAGGCGCCCACCGACTGCGCCTTCTCAGAAAGGAGGCAGTGGTGCTCACTGCGGCAAGGATACCAGTCGTCATGAGGCTGTCGTCATCTCTGTACTTCAAGACTTGCGTGTCAAAGTAAGTGACCAGCTTGTTCGGTGTCAGCCTCTTTTGGAAGTCAGCCTCGGACATCGGCACTGAAGGGGCAGCGATCTGCCGATGTCGCGGAGGGACGCCGGAGGTGCCGAAAGCCAGAGGTCGAAAGAACGCACGGGAACCCACCATCGCCGGAGTCAGGGCCGAAACCATGGGCCACATTGCGTCTTCCGACCGGCACCACCTTGGGCCTTGGTGTTCTGATGGTTCTGCCGCTCAGGCAACAGCCAAAGCATCCCGAAAAGCTCGAGAAGCTGTCGGCTGAAACTCGGAAACCGTCAAGTTTCGATCTACACATCTGAGGAACAGTATCGGTTATAAGGACTCTACTTCTTCCACTGGATCACAATGCAGTTGAGGCTTTCTCGCTGGTGTGCATCCCAGCTTCGTTGAAGCGGGCTTTGCAGACTTGGGCTTCCGGGTGTCCAGCGTCAATTCAACCCCCTGGACCACGAATCCGAATCTACCTAGAAGAAGCTCGTTTCACGATCCGGATGCTCAACCTCTCTCCCCCAAATCACCATACACGGTCAAGAGGCCAGGACGCGAAACTACCTAAACGTGAAACTCAACTTCAGCAAACAATGAAGCTCAGCCTCCAAACCCACAGCTTTGAAGGTGACTCGTCATCTCCATCACATTCCATAACAATAATGCATGAACCCTCGCTTCAATCCTGCGCCCCGCAACACTTACCAAGAGCTCAAACTCCACAAGTCGCGTCTCACGAAACAATTCTGACCCTATTCTCGCGTCTCGTTAGACCACCCCCCGAGCCGTAAACGGTGCTCGAGACCCGCATGAGGCCCCGTCCGCCGCGGCGGCGCAGAGCGTGGCGGCGCCCGCGCCAAATGCCAGGGCAAGGACCTCCGCTGAGTTTCTGGGATGTTTCTGGTCATATTACCAAAGAGATGATGAGGGCAAGGATCATCATCATGAAGCATGCTGGTTGCCGGCACAATGATGACGGTGATGATGATGGTGATGATGATGAGGTAGCAGGTAAGTGTGATGATGGTGGTGAGGTAGAACCTATTTAATCGTGATGATTCTGATGACGATGAGGTAGGAGATACTTGTGATAATTGTGGTGATGGTGATGATGATGGGGAGGGGGAGGAAGAGGAGGAGGAGGACGACAACTCTGTAGAAACATCTCAAGGGAGCAAGTTGAAGTCTTCGATGTATTTCCTTCAGGATAATAACCAGACTCTGCAAATAAGACCGTACACAGTTTCTGTGCTGGGCATATTTCAGGTGAAGCTTGGGAGTCTGAATAGTCTATGCTCTGGGCCTACTGAGTCTACGGCTGCAAACACGTCGCAGCTGCTTCTAAGCCCGCACTAGTAACCTGATCAATGATCACGTGCTGCCATCGCTAAACAGTGACTAAGGGACTAAAGGTCCCCCAACTTGCTTCGGCGACCGTGCAGAGTGGTTGAGTCGGATGCAACATACCACTTGACTAAGAAACAAATGCTGATGGCTGTGCCATCCATCGCCAAAGCTGACCCGAGAACACCCTCGACGACACGTCACAACACCGAAGCGCACTCCTTTCTGGAATAGTTTCTCGAGCTTCAGCCCTGGCGGCCTGGACCTAAAGCCCGGAACCGACAATCCAACAGCTTCGGGCCTTGCTCCTGCCCTTCTCCATGCTCTGCGTTCTTAACTTCAGCTCCTGCCAGGGTCGCGAAGGCAAGGCGGGCGAGGTAAGAGGGGGACCGGGGAGTCTTGCGGTGCGGGGGCTCACGGCTACAAAGGTTCTGAAAGACCTCACGTGAGATGCTCGGCCTCGAACTTCTTCTCCAGCTCCGATCCATCTAAGAGATCAGCCTCACTGCAGAGGAGTGGGAGTGCTGGGGCAAAGCTTTGAACTGGAAGAGGCCTCCGATGAGTTCAAAGCCCAAAAGCGGAAACGCACTCTCTTGCGATGGCAGCACTGTGGCTTTGGGTCGCTGGATTGGCTCGAGTCCCGGAGCTTGAAAACAGCCCCAATGGCACTTGAAATGCTTAGAAGCCTGAAGCACCACACCGAAAGCTCTTCAGAGGCAAGCTCGAGGATTCTTGGCCGCCGGGCGTGCTCGAGCGGCAGCGAGGAGAAGCTATCCATGGACGAGTAGCCCTGATTCGCAGCACTGCCGAAGCAGGAGCTGATCAGGGTCTGCTTAGCAGTGTAAAGAGATCCAAAACATCCTGCACCCGAAGGCCCTGAACAGTGCACGAGGAGGGTTCGGGATACTTGGTAAGGTTTCGTGTCGTGGCGGTCGGGCGGTCCAAACAACGTGCGGGTCTCTCTCTCTCTCTCTCTCTTCTTCCGCCGGGCATGAGGGGTTGTTACTCTCTCTCTCTCTCTCTTCCTCCCTCTGTTTTGCTCTGCCCCTCATGCCGTCCTTCGTCGATCCATCCAGGTAGGACGTCCGGGCAGAGTCGGACGCTCCATCGGAGTAGGACACGCTGTCCGCGTCGGACACGCCGGCGACGTAGGGAGTTGCGTCCGCGTAGGACGCCCCGTCCACATAGGAAGAGCTATCCTGGGCGTGATGGCAGCAGGTGCCCACGAAGGCTTTACGAACTTTCCTCAATCTTGAGGAAGGGCTGGCCACGAGTTGTCAGAGGACGATCAAATGTGAACTCATCACAGACGAATAATGCAAACCTTGACCAGATCGCAAGCCCAAACAGCCCTGAAGCATCTAAAATTCGGGTGGCAATACCTGCATGAAGCTAAAATCTCACAGGCTCGGGTGTCACGGCTTTCGCCTTCGGAAGGTTTTGGGCTCTCGAAAAGTCGGCTTGGCAATGGTAAGGGCTTGTGGTTTCCAGTCCGAGCATCGTCGTAGGTTCCCAAGTCTACGGGAAGGTCGGAGACGTCGGAGTAAGACTCCGAACCTCGGGTTCAACCCCCCACTTGCCCCCCCTGGTCCCCCGCAAAGAGGATTCCCTGTGGTGGCAGTAGTACAACTGACAGCTTGATCACAAGAAGAAGCTCCAACATGCTTCACTAATGCCTTGCGAACTCTCAGAAAGGATCTTTGACCGAGCACCGGATTATCATGATGACATCAAAAAGCATGCACTCCTGACCCAGAGCTGCCCTAAGTCCAAGCGGCCCAGACCATCATCGGAGCCGGGTGCCTCCCGTGCAAAAACCAAAAAAAAGTGCATTCCAGGGTCCTAGAACAGTTCCGCTTCCCGAGAATTACAGCCAAGTGCGAGGGCGAAAGTTCGTCATCGTCAAAAGATCTATGGCTAGGGACTGTCTTCAGTACTTTGTGCCAGCCTAGTGCGCTGCATGGTGTATGCGTGTACGCATGTACACATTATGTGAGAAGGAGCCGAGAAGGAACAGGAATAAGTTTCGACAGCTTGGAGTTTGAAGATGTGATCTGCGCGAGAGGGGGCTGAAATGTTTGTGGCCGAGTAACGCCGGAAAACTTGAATCCTACTAACCTTTACTGACCCCCCATTTTCTCATCCTTACTGCCTTAAAGACCCCGAAATATTCGACGCACTTGCTCGAAACCTTGGCAAGCGGCCCCCAAAATCTTCTTTTCTGTGTTCAGTGCCCCGCCTGGGTGGTCGGATGTAACCGCCTCGTGCGGGACTGCTGGCCTGCGCCGCAGGTCGCCGTGCACCTGGGGCTTCGTTCGCTGTCTTGGGCAGGGACCTTCTCAGGAGGCTTCCTTTTTTGTTGAGCCCTCTTTTACATCTGCTATCTCTAGCTCAGGAACACGTAACACGAGGCTTCAGGGCAATTTTCTGGGCGTCTGTGATTGAGGCTTTGAATCCCGGCTTTCGCTGGAACAAACGGGCTGAGTTGCCGAGGTCCCTCATACCGCAACCCAAAACCTCCTGCAATAACACCATGCGCACGCTCAGCAAGCCAGGGCCTCTTGATACTGAAAGACTCGGGATTAAGTAGAGAGGGCCAAAGTTCCAGGGCCTGAACAAAGTTAACAGGCTTGCAAGGACACCTGCTCGAGCTGCTATCCATAGTTCTGCAGGACAGGGGATCATTCGCAAAGTACTGGCTCGAGGTGCTTGGACATGGGCGCACTGGCGCCCTTGGGATCTGAAAGGAAGTTCATCAGAGGCGAGGATAAGTGATCGCAAGCATGAGATGCAGTAGTGCCAAAAGCAAGAAAGATCTGCCGCGGTGTGATGACCCCAGCTGAAGGCCATCAGCCCTCGGCCTTGTGAGAGTCTTCAAACCGAAAGCAGGTAGGTCAGGTAGGTCGTCACCTCAGGCCCCTGTACGCTGGCCTGCAAAACCTATCCAACCCTATCCACCAACACACCTACAAAACCAAGACAACCGCATCACCGACCCTGCTGAGGCCCGCCACGGGCCGTATTCAGACCAGCTGTCCCAGATACAGTACGTCTTGTCCGTACCTCAGCGACACTTTGGGGGTTGTGATCCGGGATAGCAGGGGAACCAGAACTCCAAGCCGTTGCATCCGTAGGCCGTCCGGTTTTGAGGAGTTAAAGCAACTGGACTTGGCTCTGAAGGGCATACCCATGCTTTACTGACGATCCCAGTCCCAGTGGAGTCATTTAGTCGTAAGGCTTAAGTTCCAAACTCCGAACTAAGAGCAACGACTTGGGGCCCTGGTAAAGTCCAACTCCCTGCTGCTCCCAAGTCCCACAGACGCCACTGAAGAGTAATTACTGCCCGCCTGCAGAAGTTGCCAAGGGTTGGGATTGAATGCCAGGGACTCGAGCACTCCGTGTGAACCCTAAACCCCTAGCTGCCCTAGCTCTTCGGACTTCGCGAAGACAGCGCTTGTTCCACTCGGGCATCGGCAGGTCCGCGGGCATTTTGCCACTTCCACGGCGTTGCCGTGATGGCAAGGCTGGCCGTTGGGCAGGTCAGGCTCGCTTGGGTCCCCTTAAAGTTGAGGCTGCATTGCTAAAGTCCGGCTCCTGTGTGGAACGGAATCCTAAGCCTTCAGGACGGAAAGTTGCAAGTTGCAAGGTCGTGGTTTGAAGACCTTTCGGGCTGCGATGCTTGGGCTTGCGTCGTCATGGCGAAGGCAGAACAACCTACATTAATGTAGGTTTGAGGTTCCAGGTCCAGGATCCCGCAGACTGTCATAGACTGGCAGAGCCGAGTTCAAGAACGCCAGCGCTGATTCAAGCAATCTGAGAAGCTCAAGCCCCAGACCCTAGCGCTCTAGCTGAAGCAGTATAATCACGGGCACCAGACGAAGCGGAAGCGCCTGCCCACCACAGGCCGGATGCTGGGAGATATGCCGGACTCGCTGGCGCTCGCCGCCACACCTGCAAAAGGTCGACGTCGGAAACAATCGCCATCCCTGATCACCGGTCTTCGGGATGCGGATAGAGAAACACCAATGCAATCTCGGACCACCCGCCGCTGATCCACACTCACTCAACCCCGAAACTCGATGAAACCCCTGCCAAATGCTCTTGAAGTGCTTTGCGCATGCCTTACCCCATGATACCCGCCACCTCCTGAAGTATAGAGTAGTAGTATAGATCCCGTGCCAAAGCTCTGCCCATACATGCGCGTAATAAGCGTGCAGTTCTCAAACACTGAAGCACAACTCCTGCAAGTTGCCGCAAGCAAAATCCGAGTCGGCTGAGCGGCTGATTGCAAGCCCCCCACTCGCTCCAGTCCTGAGCAGATTCTTCTTTGCAGGGCCCCTGCATGGGTTCTTCGTTGGGGTCAGGTGTGCCAACGACCAGAGTGGATTCCAGTTCTTAGATGCCTTCTACGACAGCAAACGGTGAAGGAGCACTTGGCATTCCAGACACAAGTACTACGACTACTACGAGACTCCCACGACTCCAGCACCTAAACACACAGATCGCACATCACCCCAACTGTGGCCCCTTTCCCAAACAGCCGCAAATGCCATCTGTGCTGGGATGTGTCGGCCCAGAGCACGCAGTCCAAATGCGCACGCGACCTCGCGTCGCACAACGCTTGGTGTTCGGGCTGGGCTGAGCAGGCTCCTTAGCCTGCAGAAGATAAGAACAGTGGGACTTCGGCTAAGTCTTTGGTCCCACGGAGAGAAAATTTCAAGCGCACGTTGAAAGGACGCTCAAACGATAACCTCGCGGTCAGTCTCGAGTTGACCGTTGAAAGGCGATTTGCAACCATGCTCCGCCTTGGGCGGGGTGGTCGTCACACCCTTCATGCCGCAGTCCTGTTTTGAGTCGATCGCATCAAGCCACTCCGGCTGAAGCTTGAAGTCATCCTCCATGTACTGGTGCTTGAAGAAGAGCTGCTCATCGCCGAAGGTTGTGGTAGTCGGACCATGCTCGCCGATCCGAACCTTGCCGATCAACTCTTCAGTCGCCCCTGGCTTCTCCAGAGCGTAGACATCGAAAACGACCTGCCCTGGCTTCAGATCAGACTCGAGATTCTTCAGGCACTGGGCATAGTCCTGGCAAGGACACTCCACCTTCACTGCCGGGCGCAACACTAGCTCGAAGGGGAACTTGCCCTTCTGGCCATCTGCGAAGTCCGAGGTGCCCACCATCAACGGGCAGTAAGAGGCCTGCCAGAACTTGGCAGCAACCAACTTGAGCGCGAAGTTGGTGCTTGCTTTGATGTGTGTGGTGAAGTCACGAGAGAAGAAGTTGCTCTCCTCACATGGCTGGCCATCCAGGCCAGGCATAGCAACGAAGTTGGAGCTCGTTCGCCCGTCGCGCAAGAGCTTCAGGCCAATGCCCGGGGTGAAGCCGGAGCTGCCTGGCTCCGCGGCTGAGGAGAAGCGAACGAAGCCATGCTCTGACCCAGAGGCGAAGAGACCGCCATACTTCGAACTCAGAGACTCCCACTTGATGGGCGCCACAGCCCCGACGCTGTGGATGTACTTGACGCGGGAGCCCGGGAAGATGTCCGACTGCGATTCAAAAGACACCTGGACGCTCTCAGACATGATGCCGCTCAGGAGTGACAGGGCGGCGGGATACTGGCCGGACGTGGTGTTCTGGTTGACACGCTGCCACAGCAGCTTCTGCTTCTGCTCCGCCGTTAGCTCTTCGTACGGCTTGTATGCTGGAAACGAACAGTAATCATATTTGCCAAGTGGAATGCTCCAGGACGCAGTTCCCTTAGCACAATTCTTGTCCTTCACCTTGCAGATGGGGGCTGCGAAGCAACCAGCGAAAGGGCTTTCTTTGCATTCGGACACACACTCGCATCCAAGCACCGTGGCTGGTGCATACTCGTAAATTGGACTGTCTTGTCCAAGTGCCCAGCTGGCCAAGACCGGCAAGGTCGCCACAGCACGCTTCATGCTTCAGGAGGGATGGAAGAAGCTTCAAGCAGGTGTCGGGCACAGCCTACTCTTGATCTGTAATACTACAAAGAAGGGCGGGCAGCGGGCAGTTCAAGCTGCTCTGCATTCTAGCACGATCTCAATGTATCTTTTCAGTAGCCGTGACACAAGAAGCACACTCCAGTACACTGCCAATGGTCAGAGTGGATTCCAGTTCTTAGGTGCTTCGGAAGTTGCGTGCTCCAACCCTCAAGTCCCGGAGGCTCAGCCCCTTGCAAGGCCCTGTCCCAACTCTCCCAATTTCGATCACTTTCTACTTAAGCATTCTGTCACACTCCGGGGCCCTGACGGTCCAAAGGCAGTCCGTCGGAATGCATTCGTCGTGGCAGGGCTGAACGGCAAGCAGAAGTGGAATTGGGACTATGGCGATGAAGATAGGCACCGTGGTCACACACTTCCACGATGCTGATGTTGATGTTGCGTCTGCTGGTGCTGATGGTGCTGGTGCTGGTAATGATGAGACGATGACGAGTGGGAGAACAACATGAGAATACGGAGGTGCAGAATGAGGATGGCGATGGCAATGAGCGGCCAAGCCTGGTTGGCGCACTGCCGTGTGATTGACCTTTGCTGCAGGTTGAGAGGCTGCAATCATGCGAAACACGATGCCGAGAAGCCAACAACCCTTCCGCTCTCAGCTGTCGCAGAGAGACCCACATTATCTCAAATCCCTCATAAGCAAGCAGACCTCCACGAGCTACACTCTAGACTTGCCTGCTAATTGCTAACTTCCAAAACATAGAAAATGTGTGGGATGTCTTGGCAACCGGCAGCGCTGCAGAGCAACCAAAGCCGCCCTTCGACGGTGGCCTGGAGGACATTTCAGGGAAAGGGAGCGAAGATCGAAGGGTCTCCATAAACCGGGGCTTGATCCGCTCCTAAACTCTGAGGCTCATGGTGAAAGATGACACCCATCGCGAGCTCTTGCCTTATCTGCTTGAGCCTCAAATCCCAAAGGCCTTCGCCCTCAATCGCGAAACCCATCATAGACGAGGCACTGAATGATCGTCCGCTCCTTCACCTGCTGACCAGTGCCACACCTGGACTGCGTAAAGGGCCCCATTGGTTCCAGCCTTGTGTGCTTACATGTTGTTTCAATGGAGCGTAGTCGAGCTGGACTAAGGCGATGTCACTACCTGCTAGGCAGTTCGGGGATGGAAGCCAGGACCAAATTCACTATAAACCTTCAACTTCAGACAAGGGTGCAGAACATAGCATGACAGAGCACAACATTCTACTTTTATACATACGACTCATATGACCATGCAATCATTCGGCATCTGGACATATAGGATCATTCTCGGCTCACCGTTCCAAGTGCAACCCGTGCACGCAGCGTCGCACTCGCCCCACTCGCTCCAGTCAGAGAGGATGCAATCCACCGCGGGCTTGTTGTAGAGGTGGCACGGATCCACCTGAATGGGTTGGTCCGCACCATTCGATGACGCAAAAAGCTGAAGGGGCTTCCAAATAGCAGGACTCACAAAGGCTGAAGGACCAGGGCTCTCGGAGGCCTACGGTATGCAGATGCCTGAGCATTCCAGCTGCACACCGAAACTCACCGGATATCGTGGGCCAACACATCGGCAGCTCTATTCGGGCCTCGCAGCAGCTGCCTGTACCGAAGCAGCCCTGGCTGCCATTTCAGTTCCGGGCTGTGGATTAAGCTGGTGGTCCGAGGAGTGGTGGGCTTCCTTGTAACTCACAGGCTTTCTGATGTCGTTCCAGCAGCGGCGAGCGCCTGAAGAGCTTGAGCCCTGAATCTGTAGCTTCCTGGAAACGAAGCCCAAGCTTTGGGCGTAGGAGGAACCAGGCCTTCATGGAGAAGAGGAAGCGCCGGCAGGTCTCTCCTCCCGACTCTTCGACCTGGCCGCTTTTCTCCCAGAGCCCCAAGGATGGCCACGACATGCGCGGCGAACGACCTGGCCTTGAGTCGAACTTCCACCGAGGACGCCTGGTCGCTACTTGGGTATCCGATGGGGTCGCCTTGGCCTTTGGCCCTTCGTCGTTGTTGAAGCATTTTGCAGTGATTTCTGGTAGTTGCAGACAGGCAGGGCTTTCATCTGCCCAGGAGTTTAGTGAGTTTAGTGTCCTTTGGGCCTCGGGACAAAAACATTTGCAACCCGCGAAAATTCAGCAAGGCTCAACAGGAGGGACGGGCTGAGTGAGCTCCGCTAGTGCGACGGGGCTCTCGCCTCCATGACTGCTCTTCGTTTGTGGTTCGGGACTTTGGTGGCACATCGCAGAGAATGTACTCTGCACATACAGCGAATCCCGAAATTGTGCACGTGTGGCTCACTACCCTCTCGTCCATTCGCGTGCCTGCTGCCTGTGGAGTCCCTGCATGACCAAGCAAACGGTAGACACCAGCACAATGCTGTTCATCTGTTGTGCCTGTTGTGCAAAGCGGAGAGTTCGGACCAACATCCCGCACATCCTGAACTTCGCAACCTGATTTGTGAGGCAAACATGAACACCAATCCGGCCTCGATAAAGAGAAGCGACACCGCCCTGTCCAGACAGGGTGTTTTGGGCTGGACTTCGCCCGGGCTTCCAGGCCGATTCACATTCAACATACTTTCCGGAAGCGTTTTCGCCCTTGAACTATGTGGAAATCGTAGTTGGCTCCATCTTTGTGAAGATATATAGTGCGGTTGCCTCCGTGATCCACCGATCACCAGGAAGCGCTTTGAGTGCCGAAACCCCTTGCCATAGCACAAACCTTTTTGGAAATATCATTCGATCAAAAACCGAACCTGCTATCATCGTCGTCGTCGGCGGTGGTCGGCGACTGGCAGTTCAAGCATGCAAGTGTTTTGACTGGACACCAGTGAACGCGGCATCGAGCACAATGTTGACATGAGGTCAAGCGAGCTGCAAGCTTGCAGGATCAGCATGGCTAATAAAGAAACGAGACAGAGTTGAGTAGTAAGGGTCGTCTTGCTCGACAAGCACTCCCCATGCTCTGAGGGCAGCGGATGTTGATCGAACCCAGCGGAAACTGCAAGCCCAGACTGGAGATGAAAGCCGGCGTGACTTCCGGCAGCTTCATGGAATCGGGTCCTTGCACAGGCTCTCTCTGAAGCAATCCCTAGATCGCCGCCGCCTTGCAAACCTCTGGCTCTCAGCAACAGAACTCAAAAGCAATAGGTCCAATAGGTCCAAAGTGCGAAGGTTACAAACGAGTGAACCCACGACTAAGCCTGAGCGCTCGCAGACTCCGAACACGCAAACACAACAACACATCAGAAGTACCGACAAGCGGAAAGCAGAGAGATTTCTGTCGGGTTGCCAGAATCGCCGGCCGCGAAGGTTCCGCCACCCTCACCGGCGGCTACCTTTGAGAAGGTGCCACAGATGCGCGGCGCTCTTGGAAAGAACAACTGGCACTTGGAAGAAGATCGCATCACGTACATACTGCTGTTGCTGTAAACCTCAGAAACTCTGGGCGTTCGCTATCGTTGTTGTGGCACAGAGGGGGCCAACCCTCCAAGCTCTTGACGGCGATCGTGGAATGCTGGCTCAAGAAGTAGTCCTGCAGTGGGATGCTGTTGGTGGTGATATTCTCATCAAGCCATTTCGGAATCAGAGCCGAAGTAGTAGGCTTCAGAAGCAACTCCTGCCACGCAGGCAGGCTTACTATTGGCTTATCTTGTGGGCGTTGTGGGTCATGCATCATTAATGTTTAGGGGCCGTGGACTGCCATGAAATGGAGTGTGGACATCCTGTCGACCCAACATCGACCTCTGAATGTTAGCCGTTAGCCCTGCGTTCTGAAGGACAGCTTCCTCGTAGCCGGTGGCGAAGATTGACATGCCTGCTTCGCTAGCGGCACCCACAGTAAGGCCTCGGTCACGGGGCTTGGAACGCGAGAGCAATGGAGGTCTCCAAGTGCTGTTCCCTGCAATCAAACCGCCGAAGCCCCACTGCAAGCACGCCTGTGCACTGGGAGTCTTGGCTGAGGGCTCTTGGGGCATTTCAACACTGCGAAATTTGGACTGGGCTCACGGCCGTAGAATTTCAGCATGAGCTTGGGGGCATGCACCTGGACAGCTTGATGAAAAGCCCACCAGACGAGCTGGGTCCTCCGTGCCCGGCATCCTACAACCTGACCAAAGCTTAACTAAATGTAATCCTAAACCTAGAAAAGCCACACCAGTTGTATTGGGAGTCCTCTTTTGCTCCGTGCGAAATGTCCCTGACAACCCAACAAACAGCATAGGCATAGTGTGGCCATGATGCACCAATGCTTTCCGTGAGCGCACACAGGGCAGGAACAAAAAGCAATTCATCCGAGGCCCCTCAGCCGCTGACGCGCACCATTGGCTACATTAAACTGAGGGCTTGGCCAGCTCATGCGTCACCGGATCCACCAGGGAGAACTTGAAGATCACTGCCGAGCCCTGGGTCAGCAGTTCTGCCTACTTCCGTCTTTCGTCCCTTCTCCGTCCTCGACTTCCGCCGTTCCCGAGGGCCGATGTGGTGCCCTTCGGTATTCAACCTCCTGTTGCCTGTTGCTGTCTATCGCTGTCGAAGCGAACGGCCTTTATCCTAAGTGAATTCAACTTCCCGACTTGTCCCTACAACCGCAACGTCATGCCAAACGCAATGGAGCACTGATCCAGGTCCCTGGCTCCGGCGATGCTGATTTCGCCGAAGCCGCTGCCGTCATAGCTTTTGTCGTCGGTAATGCAGGTCTGTCGACAGCAGGATGCATGTGTGGAACCGTCTGCCACCAGATGAGATGTACAAGCTTGGATTGAAAACAACCTCGCCAGCATGTGCCTGCACAGTAACACGTCTTGGCAGGGGCTTCATCAATACAAAGGTGTCACAGCCCATTCCCTGCAACTACCGTGCTGCGGGCTGACGAGATTTCGTTCGTACCACAATGCGGCAGTCATAGACGAAGGACGCAGGCCAGATCTCGACTAAGCCCCCCATGTCGGAAAGCCCAAACACGGTTCTAAACTCCCGAAGCCCTCAGAACCGTCATCTCGCCTGGTACGGGGAGCCGGGCGACACTTCCAAATCGACCCACCTGAGCGCCGCATCGCTTCGGGCCGGGGGTCGGCTCTGAGGCTTGGTCCTGCAGACCTCGATTCCTTGATTGCTTTGGCTCGGAATCAGGAAGCTCCAGGCCACACGGAGTAGGAGATTTTGGGAGCAGATGAACGACCCTCTGGGTAGATGGTGCGGAACTGATCGTTAAAAGGATGGCGGTCTGGAGTCTGAAGACCTGGGACGCATGAAGGAATCTGCTGCCGCTGCATCACCGCCCGGGACCTAGGACCCCAGATCCTGTGTGTCCTTTTTTGTGAACACTCCTCTGGTCTGCGGCTTGGGTGAGGGTGGGTGCCCGGATCCCCGTGAAACCAAGAGAAACTCGGAGCCATCACCTCGCATCCTCGGGCCCCCACTTCCCGGGGCAGCTGTCGGACGGGAACGGGCAGCTTGCCGTGGGCAACTGACACGAGGCGAGGCTGAGTGCACTGGGTGCAAGGCTGCGGGCACTGGCAGTCCTATCGGCACTTGTCATCAGACATAAGAACTCCTGGCTTTCTCTCCTGTTTTATCTTCTTCTCTGCAAGTGGAGCTCTTCTGGCATCAGGCTTCGCCAATTTCCGGCGAGTCTGTTGGTTAAGGCATGGCTGCCCTCAAAAGGTGTCAACCAAACACACAATGAATTAGCCTAGGCTTCTGGTGACCTCCATGTTGAATGCTTGTCTTCATACTAGACAGCAGCCTTCGCATGCCTTCGCTAGTGGCAAATGCAGGACTTGTCGATTTCTGACATTCACTGACCTAGCGCAAGGCAGGGTTGAAGTCTCCGCGGATCTGGTGCTCGATGCTGCAGTGATAAGCCTAGGCAGCTCGAGCGCAAAGGCTCACAAAGGCTTTGCTTGAAAAACAACTCCCATCCTCCTTTAATGAAATCGCCAGGAGGCCAGCTCGATGATGGTACCAGATCCACCGCAAGCGCCAGGCCATGCAATCACGCTGGCATGTGTGAGGCCGCCTGCTCCGAAGAATTGGAGGAAGCGGTGATAGGAAAGCAGTGCCTACACGATTCGACACCTCAGACACTTGCCCCAAGGCGGCTGGTAGATACGGAAGCTACAGTTACGCCCGTTCCATGCCTCCTCCCATCGCCACAGAGAACACACGGGGCCAGCCACTCACGAAGATGGCCTTGCCGTGGCATGGAAGACCTGCGTCGACAAGTCAGCGAGTCAAGAGTTTGAGCCCTGCGAAGAGGCAACACAACCAGGGACGGAGGCGGATCTCGAAACAACATCTCCAAGATGTTCAACTTGCACAGTTGCTGACTGGTGTCATGGAAGATTTGGTCTGGAAGTTGGTAACCTTAGAATGGGCCTTTTGCTCTTCGCGGTTCCGTCCAAAGCCCCCGAAGCCTCCTCCGTGCCAGCCACCGCTGCCGCAGACCCTCTTCTCCAGGCGGTGCTTCAGGTTTGCGCCGTATCCCTTGCACAGGCTGGATCTAGGCTTTCAACATCATCTAACGATACAGGGTCTAGTATCCAGCGTGGTTTGGGGGGGTTTTGAGCCTTTTGAGCTTTGAAGCTTCGAAGCAGCTTTTTCGAAGCAGCTGTGATGAAGTGCACCTAGACGAACTTCCAGTGATCGTGCGCAACCGGACCGACAAACTAAGTGAATGCAAAGAAGTCTGATTTTCAAGCGAGCTCTTGTCAAGCAAACAGACTTGAAAGGTGAATGTCTATTGCGGCCCGTCAATATTGTCAGAGAGGTTCACAACAGGCGGAACGGCTTTAGTGATTAGCACACCTTGGACTGAAGTGCAAACTCTTACTTGTCCAGGATGATTACGACACTTCTCGAGGCTCAAGCATCGCTCTTGCCCTGATCGGATGTGCATGCGGCCAGACTCAAGTCTCAAGACCAGGATCTTAATTGAACATCCTGAAAGTACAGCTAGAGATGTCTACGACTGCACCTTGGTATACCATATGCCAAGGTACACCGCCATAGTGAACGAAGTGAATGTGGAACTGCTCGATGCTGCCTGACTCTTTCTAGAAGCTTTAGTCTTCAGCCTCCGGGTGATCTCCCTGCTTCATAACCGAAAAGAAAGAGGGGACTCATAAGAGCAAGCTGCGATGGTGCATTGGGTTCACAATCAGCGCGCAGCCGCTGCCCCCACAGCGCCCATGTGCGGCGTCCATGCCGGCATTGTAGTAGCCCACCTTAGCAGTAGTGCAGGCCTGAGGGCCACAGAAAGATGCATTGCCCAAACTGGCCAAGAACTGCAGACCGTGCGGCGTTGCCGCCATTGATATCTTCGACTCCTCGGCCACGGCCCCACATCTTGTCGCCACCTCTCAGGCACGACAAGCCCCGCCCCGGAGCCTCGAAGGGTGTTGCAACCCATGCAGCAGATACAGTCCGTGGAAACAATTGCAAGAATAAGCTTGTATTCGGCAGGCATATGGACGGACTCGCAAAAAGCAGACCGAGAAAAGACGCGGAGTCCCTGCCTAACAGTAGTAAAAGGGCAATGATGGACATATCAGCAAATCATAAGAAGAAGAGCACCAGCAATAACAATAACACGATACTACCAATGAGCTCGCCTTGGGCCCATCCACCCCAAGCGCTTTGCGCACCGAGCTGATCCCCTTCGGGATCCAGCTCGGCGGTCGTTTCGTTGAGCTCGGAGTCCTTTGCAGTTGAGAACATGCCGCAACCCAGAACACGATGCAGCCATTGCGGCTTTGATCGGCTTTGCCAGGACAGGGTGCAAATGTTCGGGTAGAATCATGGCTCGAGGGCTTGTTGGGTGGCCAAAGCCGCGCAGGAGGGAAGGGTTCGCATTCTGGGCATCCAGCTTGGTCGGCAGACTCAGCGTTGCCTGTCGACGGTTGCATGATGGGCAAGGATTCGATCTTGCGCCAGGAACCCTACTGCCTACTGCCCCCATTACGCGATGCAATGATGACATTCGTCGGTTCAAGGACTGGTGTTGGGGTGCCGAAACGTGATCGTTCAGGGGCCTAGGCTTTCCAGTCGAAGAACTGCTTTGCTGCACTGGTCTTCGTTCCCCGCACCATGACTGGGGGATTGAAAAGCGAAAGCATGCTGGGCCGCTGGGTGAGTCTGGCCTTGCAGCTGCAGAGCATTGAGGGCGCAGTGTCCATCTGCACACTCCTGGGTCGGCGCACCAAAAATCCAAACTGTTTTTCCGCGCAAACTCAAAGATCCCATCTTGACTTCCCTGATGCCGGTGGAGAGTGCACGATGCACTTGCATGTCGTTATACATATGCACAGCGGCATAAGACAGAGGGACAGGGACGAAGAGAAGGAGAAAGAGAAAAGATTAGTGATGCGAAGAGACAGAGGTATGGAGATGGAGATGTGACAGGCGAATCGGGAGGTTTGGACTGTTTCGGTGCCAAAGCTCATCGTCCATGGCCACAGCTGTCGTCACCTCGACAGTGCGGAGCGCGCAACCAAGATAAGGGCCCAGTCGTGGTCTCTTGAAGGTTTTATTGAGATTTGACACTGTTGAAGACCTGTTGCAGGAGGTGGTGGTTTGCTTGTGCATGACACAGGCAATCGTCATTAGAGGCACAAGCATTAATAATACTATCTCAGGATTTGCATGGGTTTGGTGTAGTCTCTTTGTTGGGTGCTGTTTCAGATGATCACTGCGACCGTCAACGTACGTCAGTCAGGAGTGCACTGATGTCAATGCTATGGGACTGATACTGCTCAATTGGCTCAGCACATGAAGCCGAGGGTTCCCGGTACGTTGTTTCCGCAGCTCGATGCCCCCCTGCATGCCTCCTCTGAGGTGGCCGTGACCATGAAAACTCCCATCGCCAGAAGCTTGGTCAAAATCGCCATGGCGCTAAAACCGCTTGATCGCATGAACGAAGAGACAAGGGCTACGTGATCTCGGGCCAGAAATTCGTAGACACATTCCTGAATAGAAACAGCAGCATTTTTATCACCTGGCCGTCGTCGCCAGCTCAAGCATCTCAAGCACAGCTGTCGCTCAAATCCGGATTTAATCCAGGCCTCTGCCACACTGCGGAAGCGCATCGTCTGCGACATGCCTGCAGGTTCTCAATGAGACAGAACAAGTTCATCGAAAGACGGATCCCGAGCAGCTCATGAACTCTCAATCCACGAATCGCCATGGCAAAATTTGGCCATGGGGGTTCAGCCGCCTTGAAATGGAACCCGAGGCGCAACTCATGTCCCCGAACTCCTTTAAACCACAAGGTGTAACAACCCGCTTTCTCCAGCCTCACCAATCATAACACAAACGGTCCAGGAGCACTTACTAGTAGAAGCTATGAGCGCAATCCCCACTAGTCGGATGACATCGGCTTTGGTGGTTAAAAATACTGTGTCGAGTGTCTCGTTCTTTTTGCGGTGATGCCCTAAACCGCTGAACCAACGGCCCTGAGCACTCTGGAAACACCCGGGCCTGGGTCCGCAAGACCTTTGGGAGAACTGAGTCTTTCCGGAGAGACAGCGGACAGGACAAGTGGAAAAGGCTGAGGCTCTGGCCTCGAAGATGGGTCATGTCGAGGTAGCAGGTCGGATCCGTTGTGTCGAGGAGGCCGCCCTGGCCAGCACACGCACATGCAACGCAGGACCTAAGACCCAAGGCATATCATCTGTGTAGTTCAGCTCTACATGCGAAGGCGACTTACCAGCCACCAGCTGTTTTTCAACGATGCCCTGCACGCGACTGCTGCGCGCGCTTTGGCGCCTCTCCGCGTAACTGAAATGGCCCTGAAAATGGAAATATAACCAGCCATCCTCTAAAGCGCAAAAAAACAAAGGTATGCTGCCGGCGTACTGCTCTCTTTATTCAGAGCTCGCCATGTTCAGCAGCTAGACACCACAACTTGCAGCAGTTACTGCAGCAACCGTTGTCCCATCTCGGTGAATGCCTGAAACATCAAGGCAAACAACTCGTTCACTGCCTCATTCCACTCTTGGCCTAGCTCATTTCGGTCGGCGCAGTGAAACGGAAAAACAATAAAGGTAGGACCGGTTCCACTACATCGCTTGAGGGGAACAGCAAGACAATTCGGACCCAAGAACAAGCAAAGCAGCAAGGTATACGGCCAAACAGCCTGGTAGCCAGGGGGGAAGCAAGGTTGCTATCCAAGGCCACCTCAAACAGGCCAAGCAGCACCGGTACAAACTCTCGGCGGTTCGAAAGTTCTGGTCCACTACTGCAAATGGGTCAACAACGTACGTCCATTGTTCACCCAGCTGCAGTAGTGGACCAGAACTTGAAGTGGGTCAGCAACACCAGCAGCCCTTGGAAAAGCCCCGATGTTGTGCTTGCTGTGTTTGGGCGGATCTTCATCGGCGTGCAGTAGCTCCCCTCTGTTTGTCGCAGCACCACGACTTCAGCTTTCCAGAGGCACCTGGAAGTATATTCGTTTTGGGGTTGGCTGTAAGATATCTGCCAGCAGCAGGAACCCATCAAGCCAACAAAGGAAAGAAGTAGCCAGGAGGAGCCATCCAAGGCAAGCCCAACGAGGCTAATCCAGAAGGCCGAGCAGCATCAGCGGCTCAATAACGCGATCACGTACTTTGGAGAACTATTTTATTGATCTTCATCCACCAGGATCTGCAAAGGAGCAGCACCCTCATCAAAACCAGGGTGGCGAGACTTAGGCCATTTCCAGCACCAAAGGTGGAGGAGAGGTCCAGTGCGTACGGCAAGGTGGACTGAACGGAGCAGAGGCCGTCAAATGCCGGCCGAACAAAAAAGAAGACGCCTCGACAGAGTCGTGCTCGGTGGACAACGTCATTGGCGACATGGAAGCCAGCAGCATTGCTGTGTGCAGACTGCAGAACATGAGGCTTGGAAAGGCGAAACCACTTGCAAGGAAGTACTCTCAAGACTCTCAAGTAGCGGATCATCAGACGCGGCAGCTGTGTGGTATTGCAGAGTCTGCTGCTGAGGCGCTTGTCTTGTTTTCTGCATCTGACTGCTTCTGATCCACCCCACAGACCCTGAAACCTGTTCGGACTGGAGGCCTTCGGTCGCAGCTCGGGCACCATTCTATGCAAGGCTTCGAACTCTGCAAGCGCTCGCAAATGCCGCGACACTGTAGCACAATGCCAGACGTCGAACAGAATCGGAAAGCTGATTGTAAAACCTCACCCTCACAAGAAGAACCCGGGAGATCCCCAAGTCGGGGCGCACCCCATTGTGGCACGGCGCCGTCTGCTTCATTGGCCCGGCGCCTGATGTGAAAAACTGGTATTTCTCCAGCAGTGGTGTTCAGGCAGTCAAAGGTCAGCATCCTTTTGCATGCCAATGTGTCCATCCATCCCTCCCGTTCCCATGCTCTGCTGTGCATGGTTGCTCTCTCTCCCGTCCTGTTCTTGTTGCTTCCTCAATGCTCCTCTCATTCGATCGAACCTTTGGTGCTTTGCTGTATCGACGTGATCCACTTCTGTCGTGTTGTTACACAGTACTTCTACTTGCAAGGAACAGCACCATACTCATGATCATCATCATCATCATCATCATCATCATCATCATCATCATATCATCAACGTCGTCGTCTTCGTTCGCCATCGTCATCATCATCGCCGTCAACACCATCATTGGCATACCCATCATCACCATCATCATGGCCGTCGTCGTCATCATCGTCATCGTCATCGTCATCAACACCATCATCATCATGGCAATCGTCATGGTAATCGTCAACAAAATCATTGTCAGCATCATCATCATCATCATCGTCATCATTATCATCATGGACCCTTTCGCAGGACAACTTCCGAACCTCCTGACCCAACACTCCACACATCACCATTCCGGCAGGTCGCAATAAAGGCCGGCTCCCTTGCCCGGAACCTCAGTCGGGGTGCGGAATGAAGTCTCAGTCTCAGGTTCTTGGCTCTGGATGTATGGCTCGGTCTTGCTTCATGGCTTCAGGGAACCCAATTGACCACCACGGTATCTGCGAAGAGACTGCGCAATATCAATGCTAGCTTCAAGAGTAAGCCATGTGCGGCAATCGTCCGCTCGCGCTCGCGCACGCCTCGCAGGATTGCTTGGCTGGCGGCAGGCCGTTAGCTTGCGCCAGGGCTGGCTGTCGTTAAGCCTACGAGCGGTCAAAATGGCCACAAGCCCAACCAGGCACCTAAACACAACTAGTTGAAATGTTAAAACATGTCCTAAACACCTGAAGGGCCGGCTTCAAGCGAATCAGGCATCCTTTGCCGCACAAAACCATCCACACCACATGCCTCGATGCTGCGACACAAACCTCACCCGTGCAAAATCTACACAAGGCGAGCGAGACACTGGACAAATCAGCGTCAGGACCATCATGCGCATCAGCTGCCCTGCACTACACAAAATGAAACTGCTGCCCCTTGCGGGCTCGCCATGTGGCAGTAGAACGGTCGCTCGGCATCATGAGCATCAGCGATTACTTGTTTCGCATACCAGAGACGAATTGCACCAAAGGCCTAAAATGCCCGCCTCCGCTGACAGAGTGTCTCAACAGTACTCAACAGCACATGGGACAGACTGTTTTAGCGAATACCCAGAAGATCGCATCCTGTACCTCAGCCGCACCTCTTTTCATGCAAAGTCTTCCACTGTAGCCGAGACAATCCAGCTCGTTTCGGCATGGGGCATCTATGCCCTTGCTCCCAACAGCCAGAATCACGCAAATCAGCTGCCGGCTGTTTGAGAAAGAAGGCCTCAATTGCCCTTGCCGACCCGCGTCATGTGCATCAGCAGTCCCTCCGTATACAGTACAGAATTCGCCACGGCCACGAACGAGAGCCCACTGCTTCAACAAGATGGCGACGCAGAGCGAACCGACAAGCCTTCCACGGCCTGAAGCCTTTGCGATGGAAGAAACCCACGAGACGCAATGCAACTCAGGGAAGCAAGCACTGGCCGTTGGAAGGAGCCTTCACATTGGCCGCTACAATCACTCCAGGATCTCCAAGACGAAAACCTGAGTCAGCTCGCAGAATCGAGGTTTCATGGCGGAAGTCGGGACAGGAATTGAGCTATTGGTCTTGGCCGCATTTCTTTGCCCTGATGTGCATCTGATCTTTGCGCCCTCCCTTGCACATCCGTTCGCACACTTGAACTGTAGGCCTCTGTTGTTAGTAATCAGTACTTAGTCAAGAGCCGAGTGTTTAGAAGTTTCCATCCCCGAGTCCTCAGAATTCAATCAAAGCCTCCAAACTCTCAACCTCCCAAAATATGCTAGCAGGCCACTTAGAAGTTGCCGCGCAACACAAGCCACTGTGCCAAAGCCAGCTGCGCTGCTGCACTTCTACACTACACGAGTCACGAGTTCGACGACTCACACCTATTGTGCCAACCTGCGAAACAGTAATTAGCACATGAACGACGCTGTGCACTTCCCTCCGAGACTAAGCGACCCTTTCCAGCACTTCAAGCAGACATCTGAAAGGCAAGGATCCCGAAGCCCCACGGCCCAGGCCCCCTTTTGAACCCCCCGCTGCGGGCAGCTCCTAGGCCCCCGAGCACGCAGTCGACGCTGGGGATGCAGTGCACATGCTCATTGCAGAGCTTGGCTTCCTGTCGAATCGGGGCCAGGGCTCAAGGATGAGATGTTGGTCGTCGGGCCGTCGGGCTCACAAGCTTGGGCTCCGTTCCTGCACCGCAGGTAAGGCCAGAAGACATCAACAAACCCTTCGCAAAACTCAAACGACAAAAGCTCCTATAGCGTCCCAAAGCCGCGCCTGGTAAACCCTAATTACAAATTTGCAACCAAAGTCTGGCTCAAGATACATGCCATGCACATGTGAGCAAGATGCGATATGAGCTCCGTGTCGTTCATCCGCCAATCGCGCATGCGCACACACGCACACACAAACACAAACCAGCACAAGCATGACACGTTAGAGCGGCAATGCACAGCTTGTTGAAATGCAGGCAATCGGAGTGGTTCATCTGACAGTTCTACCAAGCTCAACAAGAAGCAGAACTTTGCGATCGGGCCAACACTCCTTCCTACCTTGGGCCTTGGGTTGAGGATGACGAGGCTGACAGCAGAGGACACCCTACCACTACCGCACAGGGCACTTTCCAGTCCGCCCAAGTCCGGGACCGAGCCATAGCCGGTAGCTGGAAGGCCACAGTCGTTCGCCTTCAGCTCTGAGACTCTAAGTCAAGAAGCCCATGATCCTACGAAGACACAGAAAAGCGCAAAGCCGCCAATCCGGAGGACAGACCCCAGATTCCAAGTCGAGTATGATACCAGAAGCAACAACACCTGCCGCCTGTTGCCCTGCGAAGGAATATGCCGATTTCAGATTCCCGCAGGCGCCTCCACAGCGATGTGCCGATGCCTCCATGTCTCCCCGCCCTCGCAGGTCGCTGAGCAAACCTGAGAGGAGTTGCCTTGAACTTCGACTTGAAACTATGACTTTTCGCAACAAAGCTGGATTACATCCTCATTTTCGCACTGTCACATCTTCGACTTCATCGATCGGATCGTCCGATCAGTTGTTGCCAGATCTTTGCTATTGCGATGCTAGCCTGATGACCGTCGATGACCGCGAAGAAATTTGGGAGCTGAAGAGCGACTTCCATACCGCGGCGCGGCCGGCATGACAGTGTTGGAGAGAAGTCTTACAGTAATTGTAGAGGGGAGCGCAATTAACAAAAGCACCATTGATGACATCTGTCCCTTGCCCCTCTTCTTCTGCTGGTTCCTCTTTCTCCTGTCTCCTTCTGCCATTCCTCCTTCTTGTGACTGGCTGGGAACCCCGCCAAACAAACCTAGGCTTTCTCAGAGGCACGCTCAGCCCCCGAGCATCCCAAGCAAAGCTAAACAGAAGAACAGCCCAAAGCTGAAGCAGAAGCGCAAGGGCCTTCCGGCCGATCCTCGCAATGGTGAGCACTACCAAAAGTACCTCCCCACCTTTCCGACGTTGATCCTACATAGCCGTCATCTTGGTGTGGTGCACTCCATTCGCTCCAGTCGCCCCACCTGGATGGACGTGGGACTGTTTTGTTGACAGCTTGCCGTGCCGGGCGGGGAACTGGTCCAAAATTCGTCAAGGGCATACAGTACCTCGACACTTGCGGAGATTATCGAGGCACGGATACTGTGAGGGCGCGGGGCCCCTGCCGGCCATCGATGCAAACATGATGGCTGCAGGACCTGGCGCAGGTGGATTGCAGGAGCTGTCGACAGTGGGCATCAGCACAGGGACCCGTAGTTTCTGTCACAGCACGCTCTAGTCACCCTGCGTATGTCCAGCTGCAGTTGCAGTTCCACCACTTCATGTACCTCTTACCGACAAGTATCCACCCGGAACCCGACCATTCATGCTTCATACTTTGACAATGCCAGGCGGCTGCGTGTTGCAAGGCTTCACCTGGGAGCTCGGGAGCCTTGGCGAAAGGCACGGCAGTAGAAACTCTCAGACTTCGACTTCGTGGCTCCCGCCGTTGAACGCGATGCTTGGAGCCGTTTACCGGGGAAGGCAGCTGCAGCTCAGAAGTTCTACTGATTAGGGACTCTCAGCAGCCCCCGACCCTTTCAGGTAGCTGTGCTGAAGCCCAGCGCGAACTGCACCATTTGCAAGACATCTCCTGAAGCCCATCGTTCCCAACCCTTGAATCGGCCGAGCCCGGGCCACCCGGCGCATCGCAGGACTTGCATCCCGGCTTCGGCTTCTGCAGGATCTTCCTGGAGCGGCTCCTGAGTTGCGCATGCCACTTGAGCTGAGCCAGCTGGGCCCTGAGCCTGAACTGAAGATTTCGTTTGGGCACGGCATAAGCACGGAAGGGACTGAAGCCCTACCGCATCTCAGGCCCCGCAGCGGCAGGCTCAGTCGCGCACGTTTGCCCTCCGTCGCAGGACTTGTCACAGATCGTCCACTCTGACCTGGGCATTTCGAGTTACACGTGTTCTCCTGAGATCTCGGGCGGCACTTTGGACTTCGTTGCACCGGACACCTTGCTTGGTGGCCCGGCCAGTGGTCCCAAAGGCAGTCTGTGCAGTCGCAGTCCGGCGAATAGCAGGGCTCCACCTGGTTGAGGGCTCAAGGTCTCGTCGATGTACTTAGGGTCTGGGGGCGTGCTGGTCTGGAAGCGCAGACTGCGGAGTGCAGGAAATTCGGCAGGGTTGACATGCCGCCCTCAAGCCCTCAAGGCTTAAGACACAGACTATTGCAACAGCCTCCTCCTGCAGGATACTTAAGTCAGAGGACAAGGACACGTTGCATCTTTGGTACTGGGGACTGCCCAAGGCTAGCTGCGACTGCGCGTCAGACCTCCCCGTGGCTGCAATGGTTCTGGTACGAGACAGATCTGCTTCGCTATCCTCGTCAATGATCGGACCCTGCAAACCTAATCTCCCTTCCATCACGGATGAAGACTCAACAGGGCTCGCGATGAGACTTCCGCAATCCTCCCCTACGATCCTCAAGCCTCCAAATTCCTGCCGAGATCCTAAGCCTTAAAGCCTAAATCTCTAAATCAAAGTCCTCACCCCTTTATTTGGGCCCCCGGCCATGGAGAGATCCAAATCACAGCCACGCCCGCCCTCGCAGGGTCGCTGACTAAAGTCCCGCTCCCGCGTCCTGAACGGCTTTGCACTTTTTGGGGTTGACGTATGTATAGCGCAGGGCTGAGGACTGTAGGACTCTAAGGTTTATGTTTGGGTATTGTCGGGCGGTGGTCATCTTTCCCTGGGCGGTTCAGGGTGCGCAGGCACCAGAACCTCTCGGGACGAGCGCATGTTTGCCGTGTTCTCTGTCACTGAAGACGGCTGTGTCAGGTGGATAGACCTCTGCCAAAGCCCTAAAACCTACCCGGACACCAGTTGAAGACCGGCGAACAATCACCCAGCTAGTCTCGATCGGGCGACCTGCGATATCATGCCTCTAAAATGACCTACCTGCCTTGAGGCATGTAGCCAAACAGAAAAAACCCAGAACAAGCACCAGTCCGGTAACCAACGCCGCAGGAGGAACCTGGCAATGACCAGGCGAGGTCTCCGCAGACTTAGAGACTTCCGAAAGTCGAATTCGTGAGAGGCCTTCGGATGTCACTGTCACGACATGCTCTGCCTAGCACAGCACCCGTCCAAATGCCGATTCCCGAGCGACCATCTTTCAAGACTCCTTCCGAAGGCTCTGAGAGATCTCCATCTACTAATTCTTCTGCTACCGAAACTCGACTCCCGTCAGCAAAGATCGCGACTTTGGACGGGTCTCTCAATAAAGTCCCCGAGCTTAACACGAAGCTCTGGCCATTCCAAGCATCGATCCGGCAGGCTGAAGGCTCCTCCCAGTCCTAACCTTCTGAATCTGCTGAGGCACTGCAGCCGGACCATTCGCTCCACTCATAGACCTCACTCGGTACGGCTTCGGACAGACACTTCCCTACGAGCCTGCGCACAGCACAAGGGCCGACAGCAATCATCAGTGTTGTTGTACGCCGACGCACTGCTACCATCTGCTACCTGCACATTCTCCACAAATCTTTGACAGCGTCTCAGGAGGCGGCCGTGCAATCCCGCTTTCGGCACGGTGCCAAGGCACAGCCTGGAATTCGTTGGACATCATCTCCCCATGATGAAAGAACTAGGAGCAACTGAACGACTTGGAGTAGATCCTTTGATGCACGACCTGACATTCCTCAGGTGGAGACTCCCCTGTCCGACGCATTATCACATGCTTACGCTCGTACTTAGGGCCTCCGAAACACTTTCAACTTCAGGAACCGCGACTCGCCTTGCGTCTCGATGAGGGTCATGGGGCACGGCTTGCCGCCGTTTGTCGGATTCTTCGTGACCTCCCGAACCGTTCGATGCTTTCGGCGTCTCTCTGTCTGTGATAACCGGCACTCATATCTCTCAAATGCTTGCACCTGAAACAAGAGCAGTGTCACAGTCGGGGGATTCTGATTCTAACCGATCGCCTGATCCTTCGGCTTTCAAGCCCCAGAGTTATCGCGACCCTGCTGCAGCTTCTCAACTTCGCCTGACGGTGGCGCATCTGCTGACCGCCGCCGCAAGTCTTGTCACACTGGTCCCACTCCGTCCACGAGGAGACCTGGCAATTGGGTATCGGCTTCTGCAATACAACACTCCCAGGCTAGAGGCTATCACAGCGGGGGTGTTCCGAGCTTTGCGATTGAAAGTGCCATGTAAGCCCTTCACATGAAGTACTCAAGCTCGGAGCTCCAAAGCCTCATGAAAGCAAAGCCATGAGATTCAGAGGAGCACGACCTCGCAATCCACCCGGGCCATGCAGCTGACAACCTTGCGAGCTCTTTCATCGGAGATGCATAGGGCTTGTGTGAGATTTGCACTGGCTGACAATCATATGACACAATGGTTCTTGTGCACCCACCCTGCATGTACCATCAACCAAAAATTGGCAACACAACGGCTACAAAGCGAGAGCCACCGGAAAGCGCCACCGGGCTTCAGGTTGCCTTCCAAACCAAACCCCGATTTAACTTCGCCAAGTGCATCATGTTGCCGCGACAAGGGGGCATGTAACGCTCCGTCCAACTCTCTGCGAGACGACTCAAGGCGGCGTGCCGCTGTCACGCTCCAGGAGCTGTCACGGTTGTGGCCAAACTCGTCAAGTGTACGTTGCTTCTTGTGGGAATCTTTGAGACCAACCGGGCTACACATGGCTACGCACTACCCACAGCTGAGTAGCTCAGCAGTCCGAACTGCAAGTCTTCTCATCCAGAACCGTTACAACAGTTGAACGAACGCATTAACTGAATTGGATCAGCAGCTGCTGGAGAAGATGAGTTGGATCGTGTAGGGATGACGACACGAATCAGGTTTAAGGCAAGGGATGCAGGAAGTTGAATGAGATATGAGAGCTGGGCAAGAGCGGCAGATGTGGGTTGGTGTGTGTGCGGGCCACTGTAGACACGAGGAGATGTACTTGTATACCTGAACCACTCACAACCGCAGCAATCCCCAAGTCTTTCAACAGCTCGGCGTGGCCTCGCGCAGGGATCCCACACAAGGCAGACCCGTGTTGGCCTCGCTACCGATGGCTCCGGGTTTTGACGACTTCAGCCCGCATTTTTCAACCGTTCATTCAGATTCGGCAGAAGCGGGGCTGCTCCGAGCTCGGCATCGGGGGCTTCAAGTCTGGGCACTGATTTCAGAGTCGTGCTTGCCGAAGATTCGGGGTGCATGACCTTGTGAGTTTAAGAAGCTCATATCATTTCTCCGTAGTTGAGTCAAGTCTTCAAGCTCGATGTAAGGAATTGGGACTACAATCCGCAGAGCGGCACAAGACCTAACTTCGAAACGCAAGATCCCCAAGTTCAGCTCCGAAAATCCCGATCTCTACAGCTCCAAGACAAAAACCCGATCCTCACTGCCTCAGAATGTATGCGGGGCCCAGCTGAGTTTCAGGACCGGTTGTTGCGTGATGCGCCGGTAGCGGAACTTCATCGGACCATCTTGACAGGATGTCCAAGCATTCCACCTTAACTGAGCTTCTTCAGCTCTGATGCTCATGGAGTTGAGGGTCTAAAGAAGGAAACTCAGACAATCCACCTTGGAACCCTTCCTTCACTCTTTAGCCTAGGGAAGTCATAGACAGCCGGGTGCACCTGAGGCACCCGCTGCCCCAGAATGCAGTCTCGCGCCCCACTATGACAGGGGTGCGTCTGGCGAAGTGAGGATGACTTTGAGCTTTTGAGTTGCTCTTGGGGACGCAACTGCAGGCCTCCAGTAATAAGACTCTTGCGAGTACCGGGCTCGATTTAACGTGAGGGCAAGGGGATCATTCTTCGTTGAACGCAGGCTGAAGAATGCCAAAAACGAGCTTCGAGACTGCGTGCTTGAGTTCTCAACAAGCATCACTGGACAATACGACAGCTTCGTGCGCTTCCCCCCACCCACTACAGCAGATAGAGAGTCCGTTGAGGGTCGCCCCTTTTGCTTGTCAGAACTCCGGCGCATCAGTGCCAGGACGCCTGTACTCAGTATGCTGAAACCACTTCGCCCGCTCACTGCTTCCAGCCAGCACTCGCGGATGCCAGTCCGCCGGAAGCTTGTTCACGTAGCACGAGTACAAGAGGAGCATGTACCTGGGCTAAAGCAGTGCAAATGCCCAGCTTTCGTCTCGAGCCCTCTATCTCAAAACCAACATCATTGTACGCCCGATCGGAAGACGAAAGCAACCTAACTATCAACATCCCAAAAAACTTCTCATTTTCGGACACCTTTCCTGGAGTCATGAGCCGCATACATCAGGATCACGTCCTTGCTTGCCAACAAAAACTAAAACGGATCGCAGTTGAATTGAGGGTGAGCTACCATGTTTCCCAGAGCCTGAACAACCCGGGTCTCTTGAAGTCCCACGGAAAGCAAGCGTCTCGCAAGGGCCGCTCTTGGAAGGTCTCGTATCGGCCACCGAACCTGAAAATTCGGAAGTTGGCAAGCCAGGGTCTCAGTGGCAACCAAATCCAAGACCGATTAATGTAGCAGTGATTCGAGTAGAGATCAGCCGGGGTCTGGAGCTTCTCAGAAACTTGGGATCTGTGAGCCAAGGAGCAAAAACAACGATGATGGCATTATCATAGAGACGATGATGCAATCATGATGGCAGTCATTGTAACTAGCGGCATCAATGCCTGCTGGCGATTATCAGGCCGTCGTGCGAATGGTGGCAATACTGATAACCATGTCAACAGCGAAAACCACGATGGAAATCTAAAGAGCCCCGCAGTCGCGATAAGCACGATAACGATTTTGACTGAGCACTCTGATATGCAAATCGCAATGACACCAAGAGTAGCAACCGAGTACATGCCAGCTGTTAGCCTCATGATGCTTCTCCCATGCTGCCAACAAGAATGCTTGCATCATTGACGGGTCCAATATACTTATACGTGGTGTCGGCAGGGTCCAGAAGGCATGCAACTTGGAGCTTGAGTCGAGGCGAAAGCCCTTGCCGGCATTTGGCACGGAAACTGTGCTTATTCTATGTTCTGCAAGTTTGCGTCAGTTTTTGAAAAGACGGCTGGCCCAGAATCATTACTTATTACTTGCTGGACGGGCTTAAGCACCTGGACGAAGTCCGAAGCCTCCTGTGTTTTCGCAGATTGTGACAAGCAGCTTCGGCTCGAAGAGGCTCTTCGCGCGATTGTCGATGTCCGCCGCACAGTTCACCTGCTCCTGGGTAAGCTGGTCCGACTGCTGTAGGCACCTCAGCCGAAGCTTGGCGTCAGCCGCTCAGGCTCCCTCAATGCAATGTCACCTTTTGTTTCTTGTTTTTTTTCGCTGGGGCGCTTCTGAAGTCCGGTCACGAACTTGACGACGTGGCCCTGACTCCTGCGTTGCAATCGGCTTTTTAAGCTTGGTGCAGTCTAGGGCTGGTTTCCGAAACAAAGTTCGGACATTCGGACGAACCACACCCCACAGATTTTAGGCTACGTCATGAGCAACCCGAACACTCTGTCATGTACATCCTGAGCCACAAACTGTCCCGAGACGACCCAAAGCCATGTCCGTGATGAATGCATACTGCCGGGGTCACGATTCCGAACTTGATTGCCCCTGTAATGCGACTACGACTCCGAACGCTGCTGAAGCTGCCATGGTTCCTTGGTTGATACCTGCACGCCTCTCCATCCGACATGCTGTCGAAGAGGAGGAGGAGAAGGGGGAGGAGGAGGAGGAGGAGGAGGGGGCTGGGGATGGGTATGAAGATGAGGATGATGCGGGTGCATTGTGGTGGCGGCGGCGGTGCTGTCAATAATGTCGGTGCGACAGGGCTAGCACTTGGAGCATCCGCTTCTGTGCTAATATCGTTGAGATTGTCCAGTGGCGAGTTTCGTGTTCATACAGTTGCTGCCATGATCAGCGTAACTGTGGTCCTCAACATGTTCATTATCGGATTCTTATTAATAGAAGCGAAATCGCTGTTGCTCTCCGTCTCCCCATGACTCCACGGAAAGCATCACTAATTTAAGCGCTCAGCGCCAGTTCTCCTCCGGATTGCGACCTCGAAGAGCTGCAGGTCCACGACGTTTCTCGGAGTGATTCCGAACCTGAGCTTCGACTAAAAGCACTTCGTTGGAGGGGGCTGGAATTGGACAAATCCTCGCAAGGCCTGGACTCTGGACTCTTTGCCCACGTTCACTGCGAGAAGGTGCGCTGAACACAAGTTTCATATGTCCGAACAGTAAGTGGGAGAAACCGCTACTTCGGATGACCTCATGCCGATGCCAGGAAGTTGGGTGCACGCCAAGTGGGACGAAGCCCCGCGAGCCGTGACTGCTGAACCCAGGAGCTGATGGTACAGGGCGTCGACATCATTGCGGGGGTCGAACCAAAGCTTCACGACTCTCCTCGGATGCGCGACGGAGACTCGCGAGAACAATAATGGCAATACACGAGACAAGCGGAATTGGCCCGTGGCCCTGTAGGCTCGGACAATGTATACAAGCCTACGCACTGAACGCAGAAGCGGAGCCGTAATTTCAAGGAGAGCCTCTGGTTGTCTTCCAGCAAGGACTTCATGGACATCCCATTTGGCGTGGCAAGGTGGAAGGCCTTTGCACCCAAGACGTGCACGTCCAGGACATACCTGAATTCGGCGCTTTCGCAGAGATGTGCAGAACTCCGTACTTCCGTGCAGGGCAAGTCCTACCTACCTACTCGAAACACTATGATTGCACTCATTCAGGGAGGACCTCCCAAACAAGACCCCGACATGTGCGTCCCCTTACACCTGGACACTGTCTTGAGGTTTGTTTGAAGAATTAGGCAAGGCAAAGAGATTCTGATTTACTAGGTATCCGTGGGCTCTACTCAAACCCTGCTAGTCGCGGCACACTAGGCTTGGATCGTCATTGCATGTCATCTGGACGAGGCATAGCTCACCTGTACGACACAAGTCCACGCCCTCAAAATCCACGGCCACTGTGAGGCTCTCGGTGCTGTTATAAACTTGCTCGATGTGCTGGAGCATGCTCCTTGCAGGGCAAGCATGGGAACAGTCCTGGGCCTGTGCAACCACCTTCCAAGAAGAGCTGAGGCGCATCAGGCTTCCACAGGAATCAATGAGCTGGATGCGGAAATCGGAGGTTTGGAAGGCTTCATCCACATTCTCGTGAGCCTGGAGCCGGAACTGAACCATCTGGCTCTGCTGAGAGAACGTCATGATGACCGTGAAGTAATGGCAGAACTGCATCAAAAGGCTTCCAGCAAGTTCCTTAGCTGCACAACTGCCCGAATACGATACAAAGACAAGTCGCATAGGCTTGAGAGAATTGAGAATAGCCCCTGGGAGCACCGAGCTTCACTCGGTGTCAGCTCCTGTGCAACCTTCAAGACTTTCGCCTGGACCTCTTCCAGGTACCTGACCATGTCAGACCTCGGCTTCTTGGTCCTCTAACTTCTAAGGGTCAGTGAAGTGAAAAGGTGCCTCGGAGCCAAGAGACAGGACCAGGGCCGGGTACTCAGAGAGGGCGGAGATGGTGCCATCCCCACGCTGAGCAGAGAACCCCCCTTGAGCGAAGAATCCACCCAAGGCGTTGCCGAAGCAGGCAGCATCCGGCCCGAGCAATCGGATCGCAACATGGTAAATAAACTCGCTGATAGCGCTATCTGCGACTCCGCCGTGCTCTTGGTTCACATAATTGTTCAAGGAGGTGCTGCAGTGGAGATTCGGTATGTTGTTCTGTAAAGCCACATGGCCGTCCAACTCGTGCGCTTTGGAGGCGGTCCACTGCGCAAAGGCCAGCAGCATCCTGTGCCGGAAAAGGTCCTGGACGGGTTCAAACTGTCAGCCCAACAACGCAACAGGTTCCGTATAGAGATGCCAGCTGAAGTCGCTAGAAGGGCTTCCAAGACTCTCCCAGAACCTAGGACCTAGCTGCAAAGGCCGATTTAGGGCTCCGCCTGAGTGTCCGTCCAGGAGCTGAGACTGGTCCCGTCCGGCAGCGCGTTCCGCAAAGCGAAGCTGCAAAAGCCCTGCACCGAGTCCGAAGACGAGTTTTCCAGGAAGACCTCTCCATCTCAGCTTGGGATCAACAGTTCAACGAGAGACACGTTTTGGGTCTCGAGCTTGAGTGCGAGCTGTTTGGCTGTGCAAGATCTGACACGCGCCTGGAGCACTTGGACTGCAGTTTCCCTCCATGCTTCAACCTGCTGATCCATGGCGGCTTGTCCCTGGAAGTTCCGAGATGATTGCCGACTGCAATTGTCACGGCTGGTGCTTGTGGACTCCACATGTTGCAAGAGCCATCCTGAACATGATGAAGCACTTTTCTTCTTTGGAGCCAAATCAGCGAAGAGATGCGAATGGCGGCTGGCTTTCCCTCGCTCTTGGCTCTTGGTTGCTGCTATCGTTGTCCGAGCACCACTCCGCCCTAGAGGAAAGTAACAACCTTACATACAGCATATCCTCAGAATCCCACATTCGTCGGACCCTGAGCTCCAACAGCGTCAGGCCCAAATGCTCTAAACTTACCCAAAACTGGCGAGCTCGGGAATCCATCCAATTTGAAGCCCTAAACCCATGAGCTCGTCCTGCAGGAAGCTATGAAGATGCTAAGAAGCATCGACGCAGGGCCTGGGACTTCCGGCTCCCGCCTGTGGCCTGGCGCCTTGCAAAATTCCGGTCAAGACATGCAAAGGCCACGTTGCACTCCACTGCTTCGGAGAGCCAGTCGTGGCAGGGAGTGCCACCCCCTGGCGTGGAGCGGAAAGGCTGTGTGCTTGAACATGAAAAAGGTAAGGAACCGAACCGCGAACCGGAACCGACTCCTCATGAACCGCTGGAACCGCAATGTGGGTTCATGAACCGCGAACCTGCCGAACCGAACCGTCAAGTCGGTTCCCAGCCTGCCTGTCAAAAACAGGCCAGAAACGTGTTTGGATCTGGCTAAAATTTTGTGATGTGGCACAGAAGTTTGGGGCCTGAAACTTGCACAAAGGGTGCTCCCACACGTGATGCTGGGGAGAGGCCCGCCACGCAGGGGAGTACACAATGAGTTAGGGGCGCGGCAGAATATCAATTTTAGCGTTTTCAGGGTTAGAAACGCTGAAATTGGTACTTCCGCGCGTCTCTGCTCCTGGGCCATTGAGACAAGGCGTGAGGGGGGAAAGGACGCAGGGGAGTATCAATGTTAGCTTATTTTTCAGGGCCCGAAATGCTGAAATTGCTACTCCCGCACGTCTCTGCTCGGGTATATGAAATTTAGGAACCGCCAGGAACCGCGAACCGCACTGCAGGAACCGCCGGAGAAACCGATTCGCATGAACCTGAACTGTGCACTGCTGCATCGCGATTTCTGGCTGTGGCGTTGCTACCAGACATGTTCTATTCGGTGATGCGTATGTACTATGAGTAGAAATGCCATCTGCATGACAACTAAGGTCATGCCGATGGCAACGATGACAACGGCTCTGACCATCATCATGAAGATGACGATGACGATGATGATGATGATGATGAAGAAAGGAGGATTTGGTGATGGTGATGATGTCGATGGTGATGACGGCGATAGTGATGATGTCGATGGTGATGGCGATGGCCATGGTGATGGTGACGTTGATGGTCAAGGTCGTCATCAGCCGCCTTCAACATCATACCGAAGACGGCGACGACGACGCCGACGACGAGGCAAGCAGGAGGTGGAACAGGTGGAGGAGGTGGAGGAGGTAGAGGTGGAGGTGGAGGAGAACCATGACTCCATGACAGTTGCGAAGGTTCTTTACGCGAATGATAAAGAAAACTTATGCTAGTATCTTTTTGGTCATTGTGTGATATAGTGTTGGCACGTCTGCGTTCATGGCTAGAACCACTCACGCAACTACAAATGCGATTGCTTGCACTGTTGCTAACCTGCTACCTCTTCGGCGCACCCCGCAGCCACGCAACGCCGTCCCAGGTAGCTAACAAAGCCTACAGCAAAAGATCCTGACTTGAAGTCCGAAGTCCTGAATTCCCAAATCACATCAGCTTGATTCATGGTGTGCTCTAAACACAAAAGACAAAGAGCGTGCACACACACACACACAGAATATCTTGAATGTCGGGGCGCACCTCGGGCCGGCTTGTCAATCTCCCGGGACCTGCGCAGCAAAAAGGACTGTTGCAGAGTGTTGCAGACAAGCCCATCTCCGGAGAGTCTTCAATGTATCAGATGTTAAATGGCCATCATCGACACCATCAGAATCTCACAGCATCACTGGTTCAGGAGGATAGACTAGGACCCGTCACGATAACAGTGATAGCGCCTTCGGGGACAGACAACAAGTGTCTTCAATCCTGCCTACGTGCCGGAGTGCGTGGCCCCTTCAGACCCCAAACCACACTTGACTGCAAGCAACCCTAAAAGGCCCCAAAGCGTCAGAAGGAAAGGTGGCTAACACCTGAACTTGAGAAACGCTGTGGCTATGGGCCTCGTCATGACGCCGCCGTCACAGGAGGCCGTGCATGTTGACCATGCTGCCCAAACGCCGATCTCGGAGCGTGGACAGGGAATTCGTGCGCTCTGTTCGTCTGTCTTACAGCAAGACAAGTTACTGGTCATGGTTGTATATGGGTGCATGCTGGGTGAGGGATCAAAAAAAATAAATAAGGATCAATAATTTAAAGCACCAGGATCAAAAAAATTAAGATAAGGATCAACAAAATTGAATCACTTAAAATACAGCAATTCCTGGGGCAGAGGCATCAAAAAAATAAAATAAGGATCAAAAGAAATTAGACCACTCAAAATACAGCAATTCCTGAATTTTTTTCAAGGGAAAACACTGTTTTCCTACGGATTCTCTTTCATTTCCTGAGGATTTGCTTGGTTTTTCCTCGGGAAAACACGCATTTCCTGCGGATTCCGTGGTATTTCCTTAAATTTTCCTTGGTTTTTCCTAGGAAAAACACTATTTTCTATTACCTATGGCGTTCGTTTCATTTCTTCAGGTCTTCAGAAGGAAAACATACGTTATCTTTGGTCGTTCCTCGGGAAAATCAGATTTTCGTTACAATTTCGCATTTAGCACGGATTTCGTGTTGTAGCTGTTGCTGGTATTCCGCTTCATCACCTATCTTAAACACGCCCCCTCATTTGGCGATTCTGGTTCAGCGAGGGGGTTGGGGGGGCAGCCCCCCCGCCCCATTTGCAGACACAACGCTCACATGATGGGCTTCGAAAACACTCTTTGAATCAAGCTTGCACGGCTCGAAAAGCGCGGCGGTGGGTCTTTCGTTCTTCCGTGCCTGTTCGTGTCTCTTCTTCCGTTAGCACTCTAACATAATATAACGTAATAAACCATAAGATCGACATAAGATGGTTCGACATGACAAAAATAGTGTGACATTTTCTGACATAACAGAACCTTGCTTCTTATAGCATATAGTAACATAATAAAAGACGACAATACAATATAACAGAAGATAACATAGAACAAAACAACATCTTAGTTTATAGTGTAGTACATTGCAACATAGTACAATATAGTTTGTATGTATGTATATATATACAACATAATATTTTGTATATTGTATAACATCAGGTTACATTATGCTATATTATGTTATGGTACATTACGATATTATGGCATATTCGATTGGACTATGTAGTACCCTATTGCTTGTATCTTTGTTTCTGTGATTCTTTCATGTTCTTTCTCTTTCTTCTTTTCCAACTTTGCTTGTTTATTCTGGATTTCTTTCTTTCTTTCGCTCGTTCATTTCTTTTATTTCTTTGTGTTGTTCTTTCTTTATTCATTTCATACTCCCTTCCTTGCTTTCTTTCCTGCATTCTTTTTTCATGTCTTTCGTTCTTTCTTTCGTTCGTTCTTTCTTTAGTTCTTTCTTGCGTTGTTGCTTTCGTCCTTTCGTTCTCTCTCTCTCTCGTTCTTTCCTTCTTTCTTTCGTTCTGTCTTCCTTTCTTTCGTTCTTCCTTTCTTTCTTTCGTTCTTTCTTTCTCTCTCTCTCTGTCTTTCTTTCTTTATTTCTTTCTTTCTGTCTGTCTGTCTGTCTTTCTGTCTTTCTTTCGCGCTTTCCTCCGTTACCCCCCCTCCTTTCATGGATACCTGTTTAATTTTTTTTGATGCTGAATTATTTTTTGATCCTTATTTAAATTGTTTAACCCCTATCCCGTGCATGCTGCATTCTGTCTGCAGTCTTGACTCTGCTTATATGCTCCCGTCGTCTCAGGGAGATGTCTGGTCTGCATGCTGCAAGGTTCGGTCGAATTTGTCTGTGTTCGCAAGTACTCCTCTGCTCTGTGGAGCGGTGCCCTGCTCTCCAGGTGATACATCAGCACAAGCTAAGTTCTCTTCCTCAGAAGGCGCCCTTTTAAACACCAGGCTGTTAGGCAGTTGCTGTAGCAACCAGTGTCCTAAAGAATTCATCTACGATCCCTCAAAGAACCAATGGCCATGTGTTCCTGAAGAAATCATCTGCGATCCCTCAAAGAACCAATGCCATGTGTTCCTGGAGGAATCGTAGATGATTGCCTTCTCGCCAATTCCATTCGAAAGCAAGCTCATTCTCCAAGCAACCCCCAAGTTGAGGCGGAAGAGCTGGACTGCGACGGGAAGTGTCACGCAGTAAACAAGGTGGAACACCACCACGATTTCCATTTCCAGAGCTGTTCCAGACTGGACAACTTGATCACCATTGCTGAGACCTGTCAGTAAGTGCCACTGGGTTTCAACCAAAAACACACTGCCCGAAGTCGTTCACAAGAACCAATCCCAAGGTTGGACACCATCTAAGAACGGCCCTTGCGCTATGCCGCTGTGCTACTGAAACCCTCAACCTCCTCCCATTGCTGCGCCTTGCAATTCCGGTGGTCACCACCACAAGGCGAGGTCTTTTTTGTGGCCTCAGTCGGGGGGCGTTTGGGCTCAAAGTGGGACCTGGACAGGTGTGTTGTGGCGAGGTCTCCGGAACTCGGACGAATTCAGCCTTGGAGTTTCCAAGCGTTGGGTGCCTGGTGTTTCCCGGAGGGGCAAAGTTGATGGTTGACGAGTTCGCGGGTCCGTACAGCATAGAACGATTCGTGGACTCGGGCATCTGCCCCCCCTCGGCCCCAGGCTCCCTCGCACTGTGCACCACCATTGACTGCCGGCTGCTCGATGGCTCGGAGCATGTATCTCAGGGAAGCCAGTGCGCTTGCAGATTGACAGTATTTCAACGGATGCAGGCATTGCATTCTCAGAGCGAATCAATCCGAAAGCACCCTACTGCTGGCCTTTGGTCCTGTGCTCCGAGACAATCGCCCCTCCAGTCACCTGAATAGCACGGAGTTGACGCGTCTTCATGTTTTGCAGACTGTTAGGCCTAGGCTGCAGGTGTGGCAGATTTCACCGCAGTCCGCAAAGTTCGTTCATTCGATGCTCAGACCGCAGTCGAAAGCTGTGTGCACAGAAACCTGCGTTCGCGGGGGAATGGACTCAAGGTTGCCCCATGTTACAATAAGATCCTACCACAGCTCTCCTACTTTTCCGGCAAGCGATTTGATGATTCAGTCGCGACAGAGCGTAGATCCCCAAGTTCGAGCACCCCATGTTCAGCTCGAGCGCCGAAACACACACTTCGCTGCCACGCGACTCCAGTCTCCGAAGACGCAGTCTACGGGCTTGTTGCAGTGGTGTGGGCACCTGGCTTCGAGGAAGTTTCACCAAAGTGTTGAAACCAGTGTGACCGGCGACAGCAAAGCTTCTCTGCTATCTGCGCTCCACACTGATTACACACCTGACAACATGCTTCCAACGGCAATTCAATGCTGAGGCTGAATGTCTTCGGATTTTGCGCTTCCCATCTACTAGGCAGTCACAAGGCTCAGAGTGGCAAGTGCCCCGTAGCGATGCCTCTTGGTCTCCATAAGTGGTCCCTGGCACAACTTGCCGCCACAGCTGCTCTCCTCGGGAGGCAGGAAGCCCTCAGCCTAGCCTCCCGTCAAAAAGCATCGCAGGCCCCTAGACGCAAACTCGAAGAACATTCCAATCCGTCAACTGAGGCTTTCACACCCCATCACTAGTCTTCAGTGTCTAAGAAACTCAATGAATCTATCGCAGCATGCACAATCTCACTAAATTACATGCCTCCGTGCTTAGCGAGGAGTATGTGCTTTACGACGATGACACCTGACCCAGAGGCCTTACTCCCCCAACAAAGGCTAAATCCCCAGGAGAAGACTTGCACTCTGAACCGAGTCCTGGTTGACGGTGCGGTGCCGCTCGCAGAGCTGGGTGCACCTACCACAGCAGGCGCCCCGGCCCGGTCTGAGCTAGCGGCACTTAATAGTCGATGTCCTGCTCTTGCAGTCAGGCTTGCCGCTCCGCGGCTGTGATGCACGGTCTACTGATCTGCTGGCGATCTGCACAAGATAGGTGTTTCTTGGCAACACGGGAGCAAGGCCAAACCCCTCAACCGGAGTCTTGAACGCACAATCGTCGGACAATCACGGGCCAGATACTGCAGTGGCCAGAAAACCAGGGTGGAAAGTAGATGACTTCACACATTACACACTTCCTTTCTGACTGCGTGTCGGAGAAAATCGACCATGTCGGAGACAACGGCCAAAAGCGGTGTCAGAAACCGAGGCCAGTGCGTAGGTCCAGACCAGTCGGACCATTCGTTGAAGATGCAATCCTGAGACAGGTCAAAGAGGCTCACATTACCATGCATGAATCGCATATGGCATTCACGAGTCATATGCCTCATGACACCAGCTGTACCCAGAAAGTCTCCATCCCCACCTTCACTTCTCTGATAGAATGCAATGCTTCGTCGACAACACTCAAAACCAGCGTGCAACAGTACAGCAAACCTGTTGCGATAGGAGTTTATCTTTCGAATCGCCAGTCGAGTGGCGGAAAGTGCTTTGTATTCCGTGATTTGGGCATTTGAGTACAGACAGACCTCTCCCGTGGACTATCGAAGTATGAAAATGATTTCTTGGTCCACAGTCTGATTAGCAGCGTGAGGGACGATGGGATGACTTAAACACATTAGGCATCATACTATCAACATGGAGCAAAGATCACAGAACCGATGCTACAACCCCGCCTTCTGCGCAGGTTCCCGAACTAGGGTCAGAAACCATTCTCGGGAACGGCTTGCTGATCATTGTCAGTCCTATTGTCCAGAGCCTACCTCTGACCCTCGTCGAAGACCCTGGCTGCAAACATAGACGAAAGCCTCAACAGTTCTGCATCGGACGCGCCTCCGGGATGCAGGCTTCGCAGCTCGGCAGCTCACAGGTCTGCGGCCGTGGCTTTAGTCAGGGTTTGGAGACCTGCGGCTACGGGAGCCTGGGGTGTATCAACATTTTGTGGACGCCGCGCTGTTTTTTGTTCCACTTCGAAGACTGAGGGCCCTTCAGGAGGGTTCTCTGAGGCTGACTTAAGTCTGCGGCCTCCGTGAAAATCTGCGAGCCACTGCAGGAGCTGTCTACGGTCGTCTCGAAGAACAGGCGGTCCTGGTTGGGCGCAGGGAAACGTTGTGGAGGCTTTCGGGGACCCTGATGGGATTGGGCCCAAGACCGGTTTTCCCTTGCCTCGTCTCACAAACACGCAATTCGCGACATGTTAGACTCCATAAGTAGGCGCACTTCCAATTATCGCACCCGGCACTGGCACGATGATGGCAGGGCGCTGGCATGGCTGGTGACAGCACCTGGGGGAGGGGCTACGAACAACATCGAGAGTCTCGCTGAATGGCCTGTGACACTAGGAGCTTGGAGCCTTCTTAATCTTGCACTCTACGTATGTAACCGGAGCCAAGTACTGACAGCTGCGAGGGCTCTGGCTTATGTTCTGTCGCGAAGACTTCCTGCTAATTGCGATACAACAAATATGAATATATATATATATATATATATATCTATCTATCGATCGAGACCTGAATGAGAAGTTGCTTTGGGGAGAGCCACCCCAGCAGACAGGGTCCTCAAAGGGCTTGTCAGGCTCCAGTGTGAGCTGTCGCTGGCGCATGCGAGTGCCCGACCTCTACGCAAGTCTCGGGCCGTGAGGATTATCCTTGTGGAACTTGAAGAGCGCTACTTGTCGATAGTGTTAGATTGCATGGGGGATGGCCGAAGTCACATCTCAAACGCTTCCACTTCGCTGCTTCGCTGTCACTTCGGGAGGCCGAGGCTCCCTTTGCGAGGCCCTGGCCCACAAGTCCGAGAGCAGCTGCCCATGGGCTCCCATTCCGACCTCGACTTGCAGAGAAGTGAAGCCTTCGCTTGGAGTCGGCTGAGGTCTCGTCTTAAAGGCTTCAAGCCTCAAGCTTTGGGCTTCTGGAGGCGTGCAGGCTCTGGAAGGGCCACGAGCCGTAGCAAATCCTCAAGCATGCTTAGCAAATCTTCCGCGAAACGAGACAAGCTTTGCCGCTTAGAACTCCCCTACTACAAGGTCCCAAACCCAATGGTTGAGGGGCCCGGCCACACGCAGTAGTACTTCTTGTCGCAATGGCCTGGCGGGTCCGCATTCTGGAGACGGCCGGGTTGAAGCCTTTGAGAGACGGGTTTGGGTGCCAAGGTCCAAAGCCACGCTGAGTTAGAAGATTTCGATGTTGCGCCTCAAGCCAGACAAGCTTGAACAGGGATACCCGACTGATCTGCACAAACTCGGACATCCGAAACCAACCGACCCTGGGCCTAATGAGGCCGCAAGCGTCATAGGACACAAGCGCCAGCAATCGTCCAAACCATCCCCAACACACGAACTTCACTAGCCCAGACTCCCAGTGTGAGTGCTTCAGCACCCGCCAAAAGCTCCGAAGCCAAACATCCGATCAAAGAGAAGCTTCCGAGGATCCCAAGCCCCGGGCTCTCGCACTCGCCCAACTCCTTTGCAGCCTTGGCATCACACGGCCTCGGACGGAGACAGCACTCGCAGCGCCGCAACGCAACTCCAACAGGCTTGGGATCTCCCAGAGAGCTAATGCAGGGAGACTCGGCTCGATCCACAGACGAGATGGAGCGAACTCACAGCCTTGTTGTTGCTCCCTGGCCTCTAGCTATGAGCTATGCTTCTTAGTCCTGCTGGGTGGGCAACTCAATACGAAGCTCCGAAAACCTATAAGACGGCCTTGAGCCTAAATCCAAGTCTTGAATCCAAGTGCTCCATCTCCCCTCCCGCCACTAGATCTGTCATCCAACAAACTGGGGCTATCGCTTGCCACAGTGGTTGGGAACCCGAGCGATATTGCCTTGATGCGACGCTGGTCCCAGTCGAAAGCCATAGTGTCGGAAACAATACCAGGTCCCAAACCCCACGCCAAGAACGAGAACTGATCGAAGTGTGAGAGTCACAAGGAAGAGAGCCCTTCAAGCTCGCAAACTTTGAAGCGGCGACTCCAACGATCATCCATGAATTGGGCCTGGGGGAGGTCAGAAAATCCCGAATGCATTTTCATACGTCCCTGATTGGATTTCTGGCATCACTCCAACGTGTGACTGATGCAAGACGTTTTCGGGAATTATGTGTTGAGGAACGTTGGGGAGCTATCTGCTCAGTTTCAACCAAGCAATCAAGTAGGCGCCGAAACTTGCGCAGAAGAAGCAAAAGCTCTGAAATTTTTCTGGGTGCCCATCGCTTTCTAACTGTGACAGTTGTGTTGGGTTGTGGAGTCCATAGTAATTAGCTCATATTTGACTTTCTGTTTGGAAACCGCTGGTGAGCTAAGCGTCGATGCTTGTTTGCGTAATTAAATTTTCCATTTTCACACAAACACAGGACAGACATGGAAAAAAATGGCGTCTCGCTGCTAAAGCAAGAACGTTCTATTTTCAAGGTTGAAGACGCAAAGGACACGACTGTCAACACCAATCAAAGAATGGAAAACAATTTGAAATCCAAGATAGTGGAATCTTGAAAAGAAAAGTTGAACGACCGCAGCTCGAGCAAAATATGCAGGTGAGGCAGTGCCAAACGTTGTTGAAACGTGCAGTGCTGCCTGAACCAACCTAGTCCACATTACCACAAACCTGAAAATCCGAGTTCGAAAAACTAATTAGGAACCAAAGCTGAAACAGTTTCCACACTGATTGGAGGGAGGATGCAGTCAGTGGTCGCTTTGCCTGAACATTGCCTTTGTAAGATGTTTTACACATGTTTACAAACATTTAAAAACGAAATTCCTCGCGTTTATAAAAGGATACGAGCACCAGGAAATCCCGGAACCGTCCCCCGACGTGCACCGACACGCGAAGAAAGCCATGTGACAGCCGACCTCCGGGAAGACTGTCGGGAATTCCCTTGGATATACCCTGGCTCGCGATAGCTGTGGTGTAAGTTCAATTCCCGGAACCGTCCCTCGACGTGCCCCTCCACTGTAGAAAACCCAAGCGAAAGTCGACCTCCCGGAAGCCTTTCGGGAATTACTGGCTTTTTCTACTTTGGCTGCAAAACTAGCACTAGCAGTACCAGTCTCGTGGTAGTAGCATAGTAGCCGTAGTAATAGTAGAGGTTGTTATTAGAGGAGTAACAGTAATAGTACCCAACTAGCACAAGTACCAGTACTAATACTAGTACTGGTATTAGTGTCTGCGTGGGGATTTGATCCTGGTAATGTTCTGTATCGCTCACCCCACAAAGAGCTGTATTGACTGTTGGCGTGGTTGCCTTCTACAAGCTGGATCACCGTTACTTCCACTTCCACACACGCACTCCTATGCAGGCAGATCCAACGTTCGCTCGTTTTGCACACTCGCGGCCGGCGGTGGATCGTCTGTGCACGGGATAGCTCTGTCTACTCGGAGGATCACAAAGATTATAGCACTTTAGCTATGGGCAATGCTTTCTAGAGCTTGTGCTCATTCTTGAGCCAAACGTTGCATGGGCGGTCATACTGAAAGGATGGATAGGCATTGCGGTGTGCGTAGCACTACCACAAGCCTACTCCTAGAGACGAGGGACGCGTGGCGTGCCCCCTTCCCTTGCACTTTACACGGTCTTGCTCACAGCTCTTATAGTGACACCTTAGAACTTGACAAGGCATCGCAGTCCGTTCGCACCCCCCATGAGTTGCGTCTCCGACGCTGCTCACCCGGAAGATGGCACGATAGGAATATCAGAAAATTTGTTCCGCCGCAACTTTGACGCATAGATCAGAGCTTTTGCATCCCAATTAGAAACGTTGTGACACTCATCTACGTCGGTAACGATCCCCTGAAATGGCAAACGAATCAGGCGTCACCGAAGAAAGAAGCATTCGCGATGGAATACCACGTGCGAAGCACAGAGGTCACATGCTGGAAGATGATGTAGATCATGCGTTGTCTCGCCACCATCTTCGCGTTGACGTAGGATCGCGTTCCCAGGGCCGGAGGTTCTCCTCTGGATACTGGTTCCTCTGCTTTCCTTTGTCCTTGCCTTTGTTTCGGCCTTTGCCGGCGATGTAGTCGTGGTAGGAATTAGTGTTCCATCCACCATGTTGCTCATCTCCGGTTCTCTCACGTCCTTTTGAAGGTCCCTTTGCCGAGGAAGCGCTTGCACGTTCCTCCGTAGTGACTGGCGTGTCCATGATGGAAGTACCACCCGGAGGGAGATACTCTTCAGCCGAAATGTGATGTAATGCTTCAGGACGTCGAGTATTCGGATTTTGCTGTCTTTCAACTCTAGACTTGACCAATCTGTCCATGAAGTGCGCTGGCATTTGCACGTTGTGGTCCACCAGCAATCCAACGGTCTGGACGGAATAATCTGCATGAGTCAAGAGGATGCCGACCGGGTCGATGTACAGAAAGTCCACTGGTCCAGTTGGCGTGTTTCGTAGTACCGAAAATTGTTGATGTCCTGTCACCATCGGGATAACCTCACATAAGACGTTGAGGCAACAAAAGTGCATTGCCTTCACGTCTTCATCCTTGTTACTCTTCAAGTACGTGGTTGGATTGAAGTTATCTCTGCCGATTCCCATCATGTTGGCTCCCCGTGTCAATAGCGAAAGCATCTGGTTCGTCCGGAAGCGCTTCAAAGTGTAAGTCCCGTTGGGATCATACGACTTGAGGTTTTCAGGCTCCTTAGCAAAGCGAAGGATCTCCTCATCAGTCACGTCCCTGCTCACACCTGTTTCTTTGTCCACTCCAGCCAAAGTTCCCCACTTTCCGAGCACATCATAGCGTTGGCCATGTGCGAAATTCTCTCTCATCTGAAACAACGGCATAGTCGCCCATTTCGCGAATCCTGACCAAGCTTTGTAGATGGTTCTGCATACAACGAACGCCATGTACGAAAGAGCGGCCATGTTGGCGTCGATGCAATGGGCGTTCCGTTTGCCGTGGTAGTAGGGCGGCTGCATGGCAGTGCGGGCGATTTGCAGTTCAGGGTCGATGTTCAGAGACTGACCGGCGATGAGGACGGGACGTCGTTCCTGTGCCACTGCATCTGGTACTTGGTCGTCAAAGTCCTCTCCCGGTTCCGTGTCCATTTCTTCATCAGGTTCCTGTTCTGGATCGTCATCACCAGCAACGGACGGTTCTGGAATTGCTTCGGGTTCCGCAACCGATTCCGCTTCCATGGCTTCCTGTTCCTCGACGGTTGCTTCAGGTACTGCTGCTGCCGCAGCTTCCATCGTCTGAGCAATGAAGTCACTTGGGATCTCCGTTGGAGTATCCCGTTGTGGAGTACCTTGGTAGTATCCGCAAGAAACGAATTGTGACCAGCAGGATGTGCATCGAGAAAAGCATGCTGGAACAATGTTGTAGCACGCTGGGCATACCCTCATTCTCCTGCCATCCTCATCTCTTCGTAGATCTTCGGGTCGCCAGTTCTTGATGACAAACTTGATGCCCTTGTCCATGTAGTGATGTCGAACTGTGTTCTCCCTGTGGGCCTCCAAAACAGTGGTAAGGTCTCGCATTATCTGCTCCTTGCTTGTGTCATGGGGTCCAGGAGGCATCTCGCAAAGCAATTCCATGATCTTGCTTGGTGTTCGATATCTCTCGAATTCAGGAAGCAATGGAGATCCATTGTAGTCCAACACCATCTCTTTCTCCAATCGTTCATCATAAATCTTTTCCACCAGAGCGAACGAATGTGTATCCTGAGGATTCGGGACGCAAAACCATACCTCCTTCACGAACTGGAACGATATCGTTCGACCAAGGATGATGACACCGCTGTCAGTGATACGTCCACCTTCTCGGGCAAGATCTGTCGAAGCGACATGGAGGACCACAAGGGGCATGTGCTTGGCTTGCGGCCCGTGTACCCGAGCTTTGGTCGTTGCGTTCCGGTCATCGAACGGCGCGAATACCCCCCAGTAACTGTGGAGTCTGCCACCTCGGTTGTCCTGAAATCGACGCCGCTGGTCGAAGTCCCCGTCAGGATCCTCCGAACCAGGCATGACGCCCTGCAGAACGATAGAATCCAAGTTGCGGCATGCCGTAGCGTGGAACGCGCCCCCGAGACGTGTCAAGAGGGTCATAGATGGAGATATTGCGAACCGGTCCTTGTCCAACTGAAGCAAATTGTTCTGGGGATCGGAGTGCGTGGAGTGACCACTTGTGGCCCTGACAGCCCATGGCTTCACCCAGCCGTTGCAAACGTTCAGGTACCTCTGATTATGTCGGCAACGGTCGTTGTTCTGGATCTCTGTGATCTGATCGGGAACCGACACCAACATGTTCGAGTTCGCAGATCCAAGAGTCTCTGTGCCGGGGTTCTTCACTCTCACACCCAAGAATTGTAGCCGGATCTTGGCCTTGTGGCGTTTCGTGGCTGCAAGCATATTCCCCTGGAACAGTAACTGCAGTCTCTCATTGTACACTCTCTTCCTTTGGTACTCGTCGGTCCTTGATACCGCTTCGGTAATGCGTCTACTTTCGTGGGTCCATAGTTGCTCATGCCTCACCAAGTCCTCTATCAGCACCCACCCTCCTTCATCACATCGAATAACGCTGCTGAATGCCACTTGGCACCGGTTGTCAAGCCATTCCGAACCTGGGCGCCTGGCAATTCTGTGGCGTAAGTCAGATTGAATGCAGGATAGCGCCCATTCTGCGTTCATTCTGCGATGACGGTTGATGTTGCGAAGGACAACTTCATTCACGATGTCCCATCGATTGTTGATGAAGCTTGCACCCTTGGTTGGGATCAGATCAAGAATTCCGCATCGGATAGGCCTTCCGCCGCCGATGGATTCGTAGCCTGAATTTGCCCATTGTTGAGTATTCTCATCATACTCGAAGCTTGGACGATCTCCTC